TATGGCTCCATCCCAGTGGCCCACATGAACATGCAGCCCGACACTCCAGAACCAAGCTGGTGAAGGTCTCACTCTTTGAAACTTAGGCGGCTGTGTTGGTTCCACCCCCAAAGGCCATGGTCCTACCCTTTGAGGCTGAGGCAGCTCTGCTTCCCATCTCCTTGGTCTCTCAGCTTCTCCCAATCAATACCTGAAGGCAACCCACTCTGCCAGGAATCCTGCTGCCCAAAAGACACTCAGCTCTCTCACTCTGTGGGCTGGTAAAGCTGTCTCATGCCAGTCTCTTGGCTCTGCTGCTGCCATCGCTCATGCCAGTCTCTCTGCCAGGGTCTCGGGTCAAGGACACACTCCACTCCTGTTTCCACATTTTAGGTATTTTACAAGAGCAGCACCCTACTCTCTCAGCACCAATTTCTGTTTTGGTTCTTTAGTGCTGCTCTTACAGAAATACCCCAAATGGGTGGCTTTAACAACAGGGATTTTTTCTCTTACAGTTTAAGAGGTTAGAAGTCTGAGTTCAAAGTGCCAGTTCTAGGTGCTGGGTGAAAGCCAGACCTTGGGCTTCAGTTCTGCCTCTTGCTCCTGGCCCACTGGAGCTGGAAGTGTCTCTTCACTCAGGTAGCTGCTGGCTGCTGAGACTGACCAACCCAAGGATGACAATAAAATGCCACAGTCCCAATACTACCAAACAATATAGCAGACCACTAGTGCAAGTCCAGAGACAGTCCCAAGATCAGCAGGAAACATGACAAGCTGCTGAACAAAGACTCAGCTACATGCAGGGTCCAAGTGTGTCAAAAAGCTGCCGACCATGCCCAAAGCTGCTGCTTATATACGGGAAGCAGACCACATCCCTAAAACAGCTACTCAGCTGCCCCAGTAGATTCCACCATGGAGTTGATTGTCATTCTCATCATGGGGACTGCAATCAGCTGCCCGGCCACTGAAAACCAGACCCAGCCAAGTTGACACATAACTTTGACTACCACACTGCCTATACGCAAAAGAATTGAAAGCAGGTACTCAAACAAAACATGTATGCACATGTTCATAACAGTACAATTCACAATAACTAAAAGGTAGAATCAACCCAAATGTCCATCAAAGAGCGAATGGTTAAAGAAACTGTTGTATATACATAGGATGAAATACTATTCAACCATGAAAAAGGAATGAAGTACGGATCCATGCTATAACATGGATCAACCTGGAATACATTACGCTAAGTGAAAACAGCCAGACACAAAAGGTCACATAGTGAAGGATTCCATTGAGATGAAATACCCAGTGTATATAAAACATATTAATGGGTTGCCAGGGGCCGGAGAAGGAGGGATAGGGAGTAATTGCTTACCAGGTATACGGTTTCCTTTTAAGGTGATGAAAATGTTTTGAAATCGGTAGAGGTGATGGTTGTACAAAGCTGTGACCACCACTGAATTGTTCACTTTAAAGTGGTTAAGTATGCTGAATGAAATAAGTCAGTCACCAAAGGACAGATACCGTATGAACTCACTTATATGAAATAAGCAGATATATAGGTACCAAAGAGTATCACACCATCAATATCACTAAAATGTAAATGTGGAATTTCTGTTGGCAAATATTTTAATGTGTATACATTCACCGGAATTTTAAAAAAGGTTAATTCTATGTCAATTACACCTCAATCAATAATAATGAAGGAAAAAAAAAAAAAGCATTGCTCATTCCCTATAATCACTCTTCAAGCAACAAATGTGAATGACAGGAAAACTTGGCACTGAAGAGGAATACAAGGCGGTGTGGCTTCTCCAAGTTCTTCAAACGTAGGATCAGGTTGACAACCAGTAGCTCTCTTCTCAAGGGTAATTGCCACCACTTGCCACAACCTCTCCCAGGCCTGCCTTTCAAGGCTAAACATTTCTGTCTAAACATTTTCTTCTTAGAAGCAACAATCAGTACCCACTTATCCAATGACTGTTTTGGTGTCTTGTCTGCTCCCCAGGTCACTTGTTTCCAAATCCTCTATGCTGTTGTGAGGGTTGTAGGCCCTGACAAGTTAAGTGACAGGCTGCCCCACAGCAGGCCATAAATCAGGAATTAAATAACATCTAATATTTACTGAGGCCCTACTATATGCCAAGCACTAAGGTAATCACTAGACAGGCATTCCTTCATTTAATACAAAAACCCAATGAGTTAGTACTATTATCATCCCCATTTTGGACAAGAGGTAATTGAAACTGACTGCCTCAGGTAAACAGAAGGCAGGATCTGAATCCATGCAACCTGGCTCTCACGCTCTCACCTCTCCTCTTGCTGTCTCTAAGCACCTGGCTGTTGTTTTTCTTACCCTGAGCTACTTTAATCACTCTCTATCTGCCTGGCTCTTGAGTTTGAAACCCTTGGGATTGAGGGTAGGGCCATGCCCCCGCTAATGACTCATCAAGAAAAGCTGAGGCTCACTAAGGGCCCCACCACTTGTCTGTCAGTTTTTCGTACTGTGGTGGCTTGCATGTTGCCGTGAGGCTGAAGGCTATGCCACTGGTATTTCGGATACCAGCAGGGTCACCCATGGTGGACAGGTTTCAGCAGAGCTTCCAGACTAAGATAAGCTGGGAAGAAGGACAGGGCCATCTACTTCTGAAAAAATCGACCACTGAAAACCTTGTGAATACCAGTGAAACACTGGATGATATATATTACTAGAAAACTATGAATAGCCCTGAAACATTGTCTGATAGAATTCCAGAAGATAAGACCCTCAGGTTGGAAGGCACTCAAAATACTACTGAGGAAGAGCTGCCTCCTCAAAGTAGAGTCGACCTTAATGACATAGATGGAGTAAAGCAAAGAATAGCAGAAAGATGTTTACTTGTGTTTTGACTATGCAGAGATACTCGACTGTGTGGAACATAACAAATTATGGGTAACACTGCAAAGAATGGGAATTCCAGAACACTTAATTGTTCTCGTGAGGAAACTGTACATAGAAGAAGATACTGTCGTTCAAACAGAACAAGGGGTACTGCATGGTTTTAAAATGAGGAAGGGTATGCATCAGGATTATATCTTTTCACCATACTTATTCAGTCTGTATGCTGAGCAAATAGTCCGAGAAGCTGGACTATATGAAGAAGAATGTGGCATCAGGATTGGAGGAAGGCTCATTAACAACCTTGCTTGCTGAAAGTGAAGAGGACTTGAAGCACTTACTAATGAAAATCAAAAACTACAATCTTCTGTATGGATTACACTTTAAAGAAAACAAAAATCCTCACAACTGGACCGAGAAGTGGCATCATGATAAATGGAGAAAAGATTGAAATTGTCAAGGATTTCATTTTACTTGGATTCACAACCAACATTCATGGAAGCAGCAGCCAAGAAATCAGACATCTTACTGCACTGGGCAAATGTGCTGCAAAAGACCTTCAAAGTGTTGAGAAGTAAAGATGTCACTTATAAAGAAAAGTAAGGTGCGCCTGACCCAAGCCACGGTATTTTCTATCGCCTCATATGCATGAGAAAGCTGGACAATGAATGAGAAGACCTAAGAGTTGAGAGAGCTCTGGTGGTGTAGTGCCTAAGGCATTTGATTGCTAACCGCAAGGATGGGGCTTCAACCCATCAGCCATTCCCTCGGAAGGAAGACTGGGTAATCCACTTCTGTAGAGACACTGTCTTGGAAACCCAAGGAGGGGTCACAATGAGTCCAATCGACTGGAGGCAGTAAGTTTGGTTTTTTGGTAAGAAGAGTTAAAAGGAGTTCTGGTGGCTCAGTGCCTAAGGCATTTGTCTGCTAACCAGAAGGCTGGCGGTTCAAATCCACCAGCTGCTCCGGAAAGAAGAGAGGGCAATCTGCTTCAATAAAGGTTTACTGCCTCGTAAACCCAATGGGGGTCTCTATGAGTCAGAACTGACTGGATGGCAGTGAGTCTGGCTTTAGTTTAAGAAGAGTTGATGCCTTGGAATTATGGCATTGGTAAAGAATACTGTAAATACCGCGGGCTGCCAGAAGAACAAATAAATCTGTCCTGGAAGAAGTGCAGCCAGAATGCTCCTTGGAAGCAAGAATGGCCAGACTTCGTCTCACCTGCTTTGGTCATCTTGTCAGAAGGGGCCCTTTCCTGAAGAAAGTAACATGCTTGGTAAAGTGGAGGGTCGAGGAAAGAGGGGAAGGCCCTCAGCAAGATGGATTAACACTGTGGCTTCAACGATGGGCTCAAGTATACCATGGATTGTGAGGATGGTGCAGGACGGGCGATGTTTCCATCTGTTGTACACAGGGTCGCTAAGAGTCGGAGTAGACTGATGGCACTTAACACCACCGCTAACGGCCAGACCTCAGCTCACTCAGTTCTCAAGGCTGACCAACAGGGTGGTTGCTACATCGCCTTTTGAGACGAGAGAACTGATAAAGTGATGATTCTAAGGCGCAAGAGCAGAGGGATCAAGTGTTGGATATGGAGGCACGCTCATAGACCAAAAAAACACGAAAGCCACATTAATGTTAAGGTATCCTTAGTCCCGCCCCAGCTTTTTTTTTTTTTTTTTTTTAAATGCAACTGCTTTGCGTAGCGCAAAGAGCCGTGCCCTGCCGCTTTATCGTCCACGCTCCGCCCAAACTGGATCGCCCCCACGATAGCTCCATGGCTCACTCTGGGCAAACCGCAGGGAGGTGCTGGAGAAGAACTCGGCCGCCTCCACCTTAGTTGTCCTAACCTTTGCCGGAGGAGGATGGGCCACCACGCACTTTTTCTTATCATTTTCCTCCATCAGCAATTCAGATTTTGCTTGGAGATCTTCCAGAAAAAAGTCTCCAGGAGTCTGGAGCGTTTTTAGATCCATCAGGCACTCTCTAGGGCAACTAGACCCTCAGGGGTCCTTCACGCCTGGCTCCGCTGGTTTTGAACAACGGGCAGAAGCGGCGGCCAATCAGCTACAGTGAGTAGCAGACAGGCAGGGCTAGCCCTTAAAGGAGACGCAACCCTTTAGCAGACCGGTGGGTGACCCAGATGATGGCGGCCGGCGCGGCCCTAACCCTGGCCCTGGCCCTGTGGCTACTACTGCCGCCAGTGGGGGTTGGATGGGCAGGGCCCCCGCCGATCCAGGATGGTGAGTTCACGTTCCTCTTGCCCGCGGGGAGGAAGCAGTGTTTCTACCAGTCTGCGCCGGCTAATGCAAGCCTGGAGACCGAGTACCAGGTAGAAGGTCCCAACACGGAGCGAGGGGAATAATGGACAGAGGGCGTGGCCAAGCAGCCGATGCGAGATGTGCATTAAAGAGGGAAGAAGGAGGAGCCCGCGCGTGGGAGCGCGTGGGCGGGGCTAGGGAGCGCGAGCCAGTGGGGGCAGGGTAGTGCGTGGGAGCGGAGGGGTGGGAATACTGGAGGAGGCGGGGCTAGGGTGAGACAGGTGGAGGGGGTGGGGCCAAGAGGAAGGAGAGGAAGTCCTTTAGAGGGCAGGACCCTCCTCAGTTCGCAAGGCCAAAGGGGTTGGGTTTAATGAGGGACACTAGTGGGCGTGGCCATGATGCTGATAGGAAGACTAGAAGAAAGGGCGGGGTCAACACGAGGTTTTCTGCGAGTGGGGTAAAGATGGCATGATACTGCCCTGTTCGAGGTGAGGCCAGGTAAACGTCAATCAGGACTTTCGAGCGGGGTGTGACCAGGTGAAAGGAAAAACCAACCATTTGCCTTCAGGCCATTGTAATTTATGGACACTCACGGTGGTGTCAGCTTAGAACTGACCTCCATAGAGTTTTCAACGGCCAGATTTGTCTGAAGCAGACACCTCTAGGTGGACTAGAACCACCAACCTTTTGGTTAGTAGCAGAGCACGTTCGCACCACGCAGGAATGAAAGAGCATCACTAAACTGTCACCACTGAGGGTGGAGCTACAGGAAAGGGTGCGGCTAGAGGGATGGTTGGGGCGGGCCAGAGTAAGGGGCTGGTATAGACCAGTAGGTCCCTGGTGGCCCATGTTGGCTCTGTGTGGGTTGGCCCAGGCCTGGCCTTTCTGGGAAGGGGCTGTGGACTCACCCCCAGATCCCCCTTCTGCTTTTACCTGACCCCAGGTGATCGGTGGTGCTGGGCTGGACGTGGACTTCTCCCTGGAGAGCCCTCAGGGCGTGCTGCTGGTCAGCGAGTCCCGCAAGGCAGACGGGGTGCACACGTGAGTCCTGCTGCCGGCCTGGGTTCAGTTACAGTCCTGCCCTTCCCTGAGGCCTCGGGTTACCATCCTGCCTGCCCTGCAGTCATGTTTGTGTGTGTCTCTTGGCAGGGTGGAACCCACCGAGGCCGGGGACTACAGGCTGTGCTTTGACAACTCCTTTAGCACCATTTCTGAGAAGCTGGTGTTCTTCGAACTCATCTTCGACAGTCTGCAGGATGACGAGGAGGTTGAGGGCTGGGCTGAGGCCTTGGGCTGGCCTGAGGCCGTGGAGCCAGAAGAGATGCTAGATGTCAAGATGGAGGACATCAAGGTGCACCCAGGCAGCGCCTCCCCATCTCTGCCTTTCCTCCTCAACTGCGGCCCTCCCCTTGGCCTGACCCCACATTTCTAGGCTAAATTCTGTTCTCAGGGCTTGAATACCTCATTAAATCTCCATAGCTACTCATGAAGTAGGTCCTGAGCTCTGTGTATCCCTAGTTTATGGGGTGGAGGTGAAGAATGAGGAACAGGATGACTAGGAGCTTTTCAAGGCTACGATAGGTTGCAAACCACAGAGCCAATGTTGAAGCCAGGCAGTCTGATTCCAGTGACTGTCCCGTTAAGCTTTACTTTTTCGTACATGCATTTTGATAATTTAATTCTCACAGTAACGTGAGGTGTAGAGAAGAGGGCACTGAGGTCCAGAGAGGTAAATGAACTTGCTCACAGCCAGGGAGTAAAGAGCTAGGATTTGCATCCAGCAGCCTGGCCACCCCACCGCCCCGTGTCACTCTCCTGTCTCCTCTGGTCTAATCTGTCTCTGCTCCCTGGAGGACAGTGGCCTGACCTGCTCTCTGCCTTCTGCTTCCCATCAGGAGTCCATTGAGACCATGAGGACCCGGCTGGAGCGTAGCATCCAGGTGCTGACACTGCTGCGGGCCTTCGAGGCTCGAGACCGCAACCTGCAGGAGGGCAATCTGGAGCGGGTCAGCTTCTGGTCGGCCGTCAACGTGGCCGTGCTGCTGCTGGTGGCTGTGCTGCAGGTCTGCACGCTCAAGCGCTTCTTCCAGGACAAGCGCCCCGTGCCCACGTAGCCCCTGCCCCAGAGCAAAGACCAGGGGAAAAGGGTGCAGAGGGGCATGATGAGTGGGAGATTTGCGGGTCCCTTCATCAGCTTTATTTGGCATCTGAGGAGAGGCTGCTGTGCACCTCCCCACGGTACTGGGCAGGGAACACCCGTTGGCTTGTGAGCCTGGGGCCTCCAGGGCTGCTGCTGCTCCCCTGGAGGTCATGCATGGTGGGCATTGCAGCGTTTGAACGCAGCCCTAGGTTTTCTGGCCTCTGCCTTGGTCCCTACTGTCAACGTGCCTTAGCCGAGTCTTCCAGCCTGCACCAGTGCTGCCGATGGGGTGCAGGGCCCAGGAGACAAACTCTTCTCCCTTCCTTTCCCACCTGGGCTTGGGGCCTCTGAGTCAGGTGGTGGTGAGAGGGCCCTGCTGCTCTGGGACCCCACGTCTGCCTTTCCTGTTCTTGTCTCCCTTGTGAGAGGCTGGCTGCTGATGCTGGGGGCAGGTGCCCGCTGGGCAGAGGCCTGCTCCTGTCAGGAGCTGGAAGGAGACGCTGCTGCAGTGTTCTTGCCAGGACAGTCACTTTATTAGGCAGCAAGGGGCCAGCCCCTCAGCCCAGCAGAGGGCAGCCAGGGTGTGAGGTCCAGTAACCCAGGTCCAGGAGGGGGCCTGCAAGACTCCCACCGCTCTCCCTCTCCCTGCAGGGGTCCTACACAGTGCTGAGGGGCGGCCTGGCTAGGAGCCTCAAGGGACAAAGGATCTGGCCTGTGTGCCACAGTCAATAAATTATGGTCAGAAATTACAGAGCCTGGTGATTGGGACTCAGGGACACCATTCGGGACAGACCTGCCCTCAAGGCCCCAGGCCTGGGATGACCAGGAGTCAGGAGGGGTCTCCCACGAAGCTCAGAAGAAAGGTCGGGCAGGAGCCAATGGAGGTGGTCGCCTGGGCACAAAAGAAATCAGAAAGCAAAGTTTGACTATGTCCCTAGCTGGGCCAGCAGGCCTGGGCCCCTGAGAGGGCAAGAAAGGGAGCAGGGGGCCTGGAGAATGTCCATGGCACTGTGGGGGCAGGGAGGGGGCCTGGCGACAGTGAGGTCTGGGGCGGAGGGCAGGGACGCCCCTTCCCTCAGCCAATCAGATGCCATTTCTAGATCACATCCCAGTCCTACATCAATGCTGCTTCAGGGACAGCAGCCAGCTACTCCCACGTGTGTGCGTGTACATGTGTGCACATGCGTTTCCCACTCCTGTGGTACTAAGGAAAGCAAAGGCTCCACCCTCTAGAGCATGATTTCGTCTCCTGAAGAGGCTCTTCCCATCCTGTCCGTGGAGCAGAGGAGTGAGGAACACAGTGCCCATGGTGGGGGACACACACACATTCTGTTGCAGGCCTGCTACAGGGCCGGCTTCCCCATGTCCTCAGCCTGAATGTCCACACAAAAGGCCCACACAGCAGCCACCAGAAGCGTCTTCCCTTTATTTTTAGTTTATTAATAGGATACAGAGTGCAGGCACTTATAGTGGTCACACTGAGTGAGGAGCAGGCTGGGTCTCAGACCACCTGGGACCCACCCTGGGAGGCAGGTCTGGGTAGGACCCAGAGAGACCCCCAAAGCCTCCCCAGCCACACACAGCCTGAGCCCACACCATCCTAGGGGACCCAGGATAAGGCAGGGCTGAGAGGGGAGAGTGAGGCCAGCCAGGCTGAGGGTTCTAGGCCGGCAAAGGCACCTCCGGCAGCCAAGGCCGGGCCGGGCTCACATCGTGCAGTTAATACAGACGAGGAAGAAGTATGTACAACTTGGGCCTGGGGGGAGGCAATGGGCTCCCCGGATCTGGGCTCATGGGGCCTCACCCTGTTGAGAAGTGGACACTCCTCAAGCCCCAAATGAGCTGTTGAGGAAGGGCGCCCTCAGAGCCCCCTGCCAGAGAAGCCCTTGGGAGAGTTCCCCCACGCCAGCCTGGATCCCCACCTGAAGATGGCACCCAGGGTGCAGTTCCCTCCTTTGCCACCCTGGGACCCCACCCCCCAAAGTGCAACACCCTGGCTCTAGGGCCCCTTCATTCAGTGGTCAGTGTCCAGCTGGGAACGAGGCTAGGCTTAGGGGAGGGATGGTGCTGCCCGCAGGGGGCCTGGTCCCACATAGTGGCAGGGAGGGCCAGGGGCAGCAGAGGGGCCCAGACCACCGAAGCTCCTGCATGGCGGGTGTGCGAAGCCCCCAAGAACATGCCCCCCGCAGCCTAGTCGAGCAGGGAAGGCTCGGCTGGGCGGATAATGGTGGGTCGGCTGGGTGCAGCAGGGGGTCTTCTGCTGCAAAGAGAATAGAGACAGATGGGGAAGGGGAGAGGGCAATGAGGCCGGAAGCAGGGCAGCAAGGAGGACCCAGGCCCGTCACCCCACACCAGTCCCACCCTAGTCACTCCCGATCTGGGGCATGGGGCTCCCAGGCTCACTGGCTGTTGGGGGCCGGGCTTTGGAGTCACTGAGACCTAGGCATAGGTGCCCCACCATCACTTGCTTGCTGTGCGACCCTGGGAAAGTACCCTGCGATTCCATCCAGGGCTCCAGGTTCTTCACAGGAGAAGAGAGAATGGAGCCCAGGCCACAGGGTGGGCTGGGGTCGGGTAGGGTGCTGGTGCTATGGCTGATGCCCGTTTGTGCTCAATAAGGAAACAATGGTAAAACCCAGAAGGTGTCTAGTGTGAGGTCTTCCAAAGCACCTGCTTAGGCAGAGGCCCAGGCTGGGGAGCCCTGAAGTCGGCCCTGATCGCCCATCTCTGGCTCCACAACTTTGGGCAAGTGACGTGGCCTCCTGGGCCTCCATTTCCCCGTCAGCCAATGGGGATGCTAACGACCACCCCCACACGCTCTTGCACATGGTGAACTTGCTGGGAGACACCTGGGTGCAGGGGGTGGGACACAAGGGGGCCCTGCGGCCAGCCTTACCTGGGCACGCCGGGAGGGATGCCGGGTGGAATCCGAGCTGGCCTTGATGGGATCTGAGGTGGGGCCGAGAAGGGGTCATTGTTGGCAAACACGTTCTGGGGGCCGGGCCGGGATGGGATGGGGGGTGCCACAAAGGAGGCTGCTGCCCCCACTGGTATGGGAATCAGGGGGGGTCCTGGAGTGGGGCCTCGCACTGCTGGGGGCCGGCCTGGTGGGTGCACGCTGGACACAGGTCGGCGCTGTGGAGTGGGGCTGTGGAGGAAGGAGAGGGTGGTTGAGCTGGGGAGGGGGTAGGCACAGTGCTTCCCACCAAGTGCTGGTCTCAGTCTCCTCTCTAGAGGGGCTGGCCCCAGCCACCACCTGGGACGATGCTGCTGAAGGCCTAGCCCTAGGTGAAGGCAGTGCCCGTATCCAAACCTGTTCAGGGAGGGCTCTCCTCCAACCCGACTTGAGCCAGGGTCCCCATACCTGCCTCACTGTCCTCTATCACCCTGGACCAAGGGCTCCTGATGCCCTCGGATCTCACGCTGCAGTCCCCACCCAGCTAGGCATCTCCACACCGACCAGCCCAGCTCCACCAACCTCTTATCTCTAAGCCTACCCTCCGCAGCTGAAGAGCCTTCCAGAGCTCAGCTCTGCCCTCTAAACCAAGCTCCAATCCAGAGGCCCACAGCTCACCTTGGGGCCTTAGCACCTGCTGCTCCTCCACACCCGGGGACTGGTGCCTCCCCGAGGTCTCAGCAGCTGGTACCTTCTATGAGATTCCCAAACTCTCCTCCTGCCACCTGCCCTGCCCCTGGAGAGGTGTCCCTGCCCAGCGCTGTGCATCACTCCCACTAGGGTCTCGTTTCCATCAGAAAGCTCTGGGGAGGTCGGGTGTGCTGGTTATACCCTCCTCTGTCCTCCAAACTCTCTCCCTCTCAGTGTTCTGGGCCCTCCACTAGGAGGCCAACCCCTATGTTGTTGTTGTTATGTGCCGTGGAGTCGGACCCAACTAAGCGACCCCTCCTTGAGTTTCCGAGGCAGTATCACTACAGAAGTAGATTGCCCCATCTTCCCTCCGAGGAGTGGTTGGTGGGTTTGAACCGCCAGCCTTCTGGTTAGCAGTCAAGTGCCGTAAGCACTACGCTACCAGAGCTCCTGCCAACCCCTATAGCCAGCTCCAACCAGGTCCCAGACCTCTGGCTTTAACCAGTGGAAGCTCCTGGAGATGGAAGGGAGGGAGGGAGGAGAGAGAGGTCAGGGCATCCATTCACCATCTGCCCCACTTTGCTGGGCAGTCCTGAGCTCCAGCACCTGGGACCTTTAGCCCTTTATGCTCCTTGTCCTTTCAGGCCCAGGCGGGAGCCACTCCCACTGTGGCTAGCCTTGTGCTCCACCATCTGGGGTGGGTTCCCTGGGCCCTTGCCCACCCTGGCCTTAAGCCGTTTCATGCCAAAACCCTGACAGGTGTGCAGGACAATGGGTGCCTGGGCCTCCCAGACCTGTGGCTGCTGGTGGTCTGGAGCCAGGTGTCGTCGACGGGAGGAGGCATGGGCGTAGACACAGTGCTGGTGCTGATATCCCCAATGATGCTGAGTGCCTCTTTGAGAGCGTGGTACATGCGTAGCACGTCGTCCCGCCGCTGGGCCTGGTCGGCTGACTCCTCCATGAGGCTACTCTGGTCTGCTGACGAGTACAGGTAAGCCAGCAGCTCATGGTGGATGAAGGCCTTTGTCTGGGGGCAAGGGCAGGAGGGGTCAGCCTTGCTTGGGGCCACACCCTCCCTGCTGTCAGCTGGCCACTGTGACTGGCTGGCAAAGCGCTCACTGCACCTGGTGGAGCTTGTTTGTTTTACTTTACTTTAGAATGTGTGAAGTGTTTCATATGTAGGAGCCCGCCATCCAGTTACCTTGAGTCCCACAGGGCTACTTTCAAGTGTTCTTCCCCAAGGATGTCATACGATTCCCATGAAACCCATGTATTCTTAGTATCTTAATTCTCTCCTTCCATTCTACCATCTTACTGACTATTCTCTGACAACTACTGATTTCTGTTCCTTCATTTGACACTCTGGCCCTTTCTGAAGCCTCTGACAGGGTACAGTCATTTTTCAGTTACTTTTCTCGGGTAGTTACAGGTACACAAATTCATCTTCTGCAAACAGGAATGATTTTTCCTGTTCTTTTGAATTTTCACCCTTCTAAATTATTTTTCTCGTCTAACTGCATTGGCTGGTGACTCTAGAATAAAGTTAAACAAAAGGAGCAACAACTGCCTTGTTCTTGATTTCAGACAGGATGCTTCTACAGCCTCCCCACTGAGGTCAAGACTGGCTTTGAGAGGGAAATGCACACATCTCAGCGGTCTGTGGTATCTCATAAAGGAAAGCTCCTGTTACAGATGTCTCGTCAAGAACGGACACCGAGTTTTCTCAGGTGCATTTTCAACATCTGCAAAGATGACCAGACTCGATGGTTCTTGAATTGTATGTATACATCAGCTATTCAAAAACTTAAATTTTGAAAAACTGGTAAAAGGGAAAATAAACTATAACCTAAAGATAAAACAAAGTACAGTGAAAACTTTTTCCATTCCAGCCTTCCTGGACCCCTAGGACCCTCTTAGGAAGTGGCTGCTCTCACCAGGCTCTTGTACAAACTTCCAGAGATTTTTATGCACATTATCCTAAATATGTATTTCTTTTCATACACAAATGATGGCTTCCTGTATGTTCCGTATTGCTCCATATTTTTTTTAACTTAACCATGAAAGTTACTATAGTCCTGGAGAGCTTCCTTTTGTGAGTGTGCGTGTAATGCTAGACCATGGGTGGTTAGGTTTTTTCCAATCTTTGGCTGCTTCAGAACATTGCTGAAAAATATTGACAGTGTACATACATGCTTACATTTGGCACGTGGGCAAGTGTGTCTGTGGAAGAAATTACTAGAAGTAGAATTGCTGGGTCAAAGCATAAATGCCTTCCAAACTTCGCAGCCACAGAACCACCTATCGCGTATCTTATCTATATGGGAAGCATCTCTGGAAGGACACCCACACAACTGTCAACGTGATCACCACACAGGAGAGCAGGAGGAATGAGGTGGAAGTAAAGGACTTGCGACTTTTACTTTGGACCTTTTACAGTCACAGCACAAACCAAACCCAGCACCTGTATTTCTGAGTGCCTAGAGCTGAGCCAAAAGTCTGACGTGCAAACCCCGAGCCCTTACAGCAGCCTGGAGCGGGAGATGTTTGTATGGCTGTATTTCATGGGAGGGGAACTCAAAGTCCTGGGAGGTTCAGGTGGGCCCTGGGGTAGGCAGGTAACTCTTAGGAGTGAAGGTGGACTAGGCTCCAGGTGGGGGTGGCACCGGCTGCCCAGAAGCTGGCCACGGCGAGGACTCTGCCCGGGTCTGAATCTCGCCTTCTCTGAGAGAACGTGGGCAGGTTTCTTGACCTCCCAAGGCCTCTGTTTTCCTGTCTCTAAAATGAGGATGAAAGCAATGCTTCCTCCTAGGGTTATTAAGAGGCCCAAATAAATATATAAAAGTTCCCAGTGGCACAAATGGGCAAGTGCTTGACTATTAACTGAAAGGTGAGAGGTTTGAAATGATCCAGAGGTGCTTCGGCAGATAGGCCTGGCAACCTGCTTCTGAAAGGTCACCCTGTGCAGCAGTTTTCCTCTGCATACATGGGGTCAAGGGCAACTGACCACAACACATAAAGCACACAACAGGTGGCAAGCATGCCCAGGTTGTCAGCCAGAATTATTGACTAAAATTACCTGAGTATGGCCACGTGGCCCACACCCTCAGATTTCTCTAGAAAGGCTAGGCATCCAGACTCTGATTTTTTAAAACTGGGGTTACTTAGTCTCATTTTTAACTGCATGCAAACTGTGTCCAGGCCAAACCCTGGCTACAGACCACCCACTGGCCACCACCCTGTTGTTGGCGGAGACTGCAGTGGGCACTCACGTTGTTGATCATAAGGTGCATGATGGTCTTTGGCATGAGATCGCGGATGGACTTGTTGATAATGTCCACATATGAGTCCACCAGGTTGCGAATGGTCTCCACCTGGCGCTCCAGCTGAGGGTCCATGGAGAAAGTGTTCTCCTGGGCCCCGTCCTCATTTTCCGTCTACAAGGAGGGAAGAGGAGGTGGTGAGAGTGACTTCAGCTTAAGGTGAGTGTGGTGTGTCCCCCTCTTCTGCAGACTGCTCTCCCTGCCCCACTAACAGCTGCCCCTCTGGGCTGGCCCGATGGCTGTATCCCACCATGCCACCCTGGGCGGCCCCTGGCCAGAGCTGGGCTGAGTCCTATCACCTGCAGATTGGAACATGCTAATTTTGGGACCAAAGGCAACCATGTTCATGCTGCATCGAGGATGGGAGAAGAGGGCAAAGAACAAAGCAGACAAGTTCCCGGGCCATTCTGTGTCCCTGTTCTTGGCCTCTGTTGGAGAACCTCATGGGCCCTGATAACAAACGCCACTTCTGGTTCACTTGCATGAATGGGTATCTGGTACAACCCTTCAGCGGCCTGGCAAATGCAGGCCTGGCAAGGGCTCACCCTGTGGGAGGCTTCCTTCTCTGCAGTGCAGGGGTGGTGCTGGCCTGGCAGGCAGCTCCCTCACCTGGTCCTTCTCAGGGTAGACCCCAGCTCGGAGAAATGAGGCCTTCCAGCTGTCCACATCCTCCTGGGAGTCACAGGCCAGCTCAATCTGCCGCAGGTCCTTGTAGACATTCCTGTGATGGGAAGGGTGGGTCACACAATTGACCCTGCTTGAGGGGCCCTGCAGGGGCACTGAGTGGAGGCGCAGGCTCTGGGGCCTGCCTGACTCCTCATCTGGGAGACAAGGATGGATTAGCACCTACACTCCATCAGGCAGACTGATGCCATGAATGTGAGTACAGCGCCCTCTGAGCAGAGCACATGCAATCAGTATATGCATGTAAGAGCATCTGTGGGTGTTGGTTTTTGTGAGCTCAGCCATCCCCTCCTCTGCATTTCTCTGTGGGGGCCAAATACTGCCAACAAACCCCCTGGAAGTGGACACATGTCCCACCAAACCCTCCTCTAGGAAATGCCTACCATGGGTTGTCAGGTTAGGCCACAGCAGTGCTGGCCAAAAGAACTTTCTACGATGGTAGAAATGCTCCCTACTGCATTCTCCAATATGGTGGCCACAGGTGATTACTATGCACTAGAAATCAGGCTAGAGTGACTGAGGAAGTAAATTACTTATTTTTTGGGTCCACTGAGGCATTTTAAGGAGCCCTGGTGGCACAGTGCCTAAGGCATTTGACTGCTAACCAGAAGGTTGGTGGTTGAAACCCACCAGCTGCTCCTCAGAAGGAAGATGGGGCAATCTACTCCTATAAAGATTTACCACCTTGGAAACCCAATGGGGGTTGCTATGAGTTGGAATAGACTAGATGGCAGTGAGTTTGCTTTTGAGGCATTTTGTATTTATGTATTACACCCCCCCCCCCCCAGAAAAAGAACCCCTGGATTTTTCCTCCTGTGTGTTTCATCTCGCTCCCTCAAGGTCCATGATGCTGGCCGAGGTCAGTACAACGAAACCATGATGGGAGAGGAGCAAATGATTCTGCCACTGCCCTAGATCTTTCAGTTGCCCGTCACACCTGGAGCCGACCACCCCGCGTGTGCGTAACATGCCTGTGAGGCTCACACCCGTTTCCCCACTCTGTGATCATCTGTGATTGCAGGTTTGCTAATGTGCTTCACCATCACAGTTAGAACTAGACAGTGCTGCTGGATAGCAGCCTGATGGGAACCTGGCATCCACCTCTCTTCTTGGCAGATGATCTCAAGCGCGCCTGCCAGGGTGTTCATGTGCACACCGTTATGGCGGCAAGGAAACAACAGTAGGTTTATTATTTTACTGGATGTCAGTTCATTTGAAATAGCCACATGTCACCAGTAGCTACTACATTGGAAATGAAAGACTAGGATGTGCCCACCTCCCCCAGGGTGGGCAGAGATGGGGAGATGACCAGGGACAGGACCTAGACTTGCAGGAAAGGCTGTGACATGTTGGGCAAAGGTGGTCTGTGAGCATAAAACAGTTCAGAGCAACAAGGCTGAATAAAAAACAGTACAGACATTAATGAGTGTGCGTGGACAGCGTTCTCTACACCAGGCCCTGTCCCACACACCACGTGTGCTATCTCATCCCACACAGCAGAAGTGGCCAAGATTGCCAGGCTGCCACTACAGCCCTCACGTGAGACTTAGGCTTGAGTTAGGCATGGTCCTATCACTGGACAACAGGCACTTGGTGAACAGCCATCCTGAGCAGCTTCTGGAAGGAGTCCTGCAGGGGGAGGGCTGGAGTGCCATTTTGATGGCTGGAATGTGGGCAGCCATCTTGGACAAAGAGGTGGAAGGTGGGTGTTGAAGAAGGTGGAAGAATAAGAAGGTGGGCCTGGAGGCAAAGTCTGCCCTGGAGGCAAAGTCTGGCCTTCATTTACATCCAAAAACAAACAGAACTCTATCTTGTTTCCATCCTCCACAGCACAAGGGAGCACAGGGCTCAGGAAGGTGGGAGGCGTGCCCCCAGCACAGCCCACACAGAGCCCGGTGTCTCCTGTTCACCCTGGGGGTCGAGCCTAGAAGAGCTATAAAGGGTTTTGGAGCCAGCAGGTGGCCACGCAGGCCTCAGCACAAAGCCAGCCCAGCACAAAGCAGGACACAGCATCTGCTTACACAGCCTCGGGGAACACAGGAAGCTCCGCAGGAACTAGGCTGCGCAGAAGGCGGTCCAGGGTCAGACAGGGCTGCCAACGCCCGCCAGCTGGTCACGCGGGGCACCCGGCTTTTTCTGACAGGTACCCCGACTCAGGTACCCAGGCTCCCAGACGATGCCCTGTGTGTGTCTGGGGAGGGCCTCGCCTGGGTCCATGCTCAGCCCCTTCTCCTGCCAGTGGGCCCTCTTCCTGAGTTGAGAGGGACACCTCTGCTTGTGCCTCCTGCAATGGATGGGCTCGCAGCCTCCTGGCCCTTGCTGTTCCCATCTATACTCGCCACGGTGACCTCACCAGTCTCAGAACGTCACACCCCATCCACATACAGTGACAACACCCAAATTTACACCTCTGCCCAGACCTCGGTCCAGAACACCGCCTCTCTCCCTTCCCATGGGTGTCCCCCCGCCCCCTTCCCTATCTCTGCTGACATCAGTCCCTGATTCTGAGGGCTGCTGCCAACTCCTTGCTCCTTCACACCCATGTCCACCAGTTTGTTCTGCTCTGTCTGACCTGGCTCAGAATCCAGCTCCTCCTCCTCCCTATTTTCAGCCCTACCCTGCTCAAGCCTCGATCACCTCCTGCCTGGACCTGGCTCTCTCAGTCTGTTCCCCCCACAGCAGCCAGAGGGCACCTGTGAACACCTGAGTCAGGTCCTGTCCCTCCCTCTGACCACAGCCCTAAATGGCTCCTACCCCACGTGGACCCTCACTCCATCCCAGTCTCTGACCCTCCCAGTGGAAGCACCCATGACATTGACCTGGCCCTCACCTGCCTCCCTCTAGAAGGTGTAGCCCCATAGCAGGGAGCTGCTGCAGTCCCAGGCCACTTGCAGCGCCTACACACACCCCATGCTCCGTGAATGCTGCTGGACGCCTACGATCAGAGTCTTTGTCTCCAGCCCTCCCGTGGACCTGTGGGCCCCTCACCTCTGTTCCGTGTTGAAGATGGCAAAGACATGCTTGTTGGACATGAAGCCCTTCTCCACGTCACGGATTTTGAGGTTGTCTAATGGCAGCATGTACTTCTTCTCTTTCTCCTGAGGATGGAAGGGAAAAGAGTGGCCCTGGGCTCTCACAAAGATGCCCAGGCCGCGCACCCAGCAAGGAACACCCAACACTTTCCGTGCTTATCATTTTACCTAACCGATGCCTCTGCCACCACCCTTACTCACGTGCTCTGCCCCAGCCACGTCCCAGGCAGGCTCACCCCAGGGCCCTTGCACAGCCAAGTCGTCTGCCTAGAATACTCACAGCTCTCTCCTTACCCTTTCAGGTCTGTGTAGAGGCACGCTCCTGGCAGAGCCTGCCCTGCCCCTACCCCTCACTCTCTCTGTCCCCCTTCTTGTCCCCCTGGCACTTCACTTGCACAGTACACCATGGATTCTGCTTACTGACTGCAACTGCTGTCTCCATAAATGACCCACCAGCTCCTTAAGAGCAGAGACTCCTTGGTTCAGTGCTAACAAAACGGCTGATGTTCAAAATTGCTTGGCTCTGCCCCTCTACCCAGCATCCAACCACTCCTCCACTCCACCAGGTACACCTTCACAACAGTTCTGGGGTGACTGACAACTTTGACCCCACTCTACTGATGTGGGGACTAAAGCACTAAGCAGGACAGGCAGTGAGTTCAGGACAGGCTGGGATTTAAAGCTTGGCTCTCTCAGATGATCCCAGAGCTGGAGTGCACGGCCCCCTGAGCTGATGCCTGATGCAATGCCACCAAAGTGCTCCTTCCTGAAGTAGCCCTGTCCAGGGGGCGCTGTGTGCCAGGCCCGGCAGTCCAGCGATTGCTGGGAAGCAGGCCCAGAGAGGGTGCTCCTTGCCAGGGGAGGGTAGCAGGTGAGTCACGGAGTTAGGAGTCATGCTATCGACATTGGCCAAGGTCATCCTGGGCAACTGGCTGGGCAGGGTGTTACCCAGGTTTTCTAAGTCAGGACCCCAGGGTGCAGTCAGGGTCCTTGACACCCAGGAGGTCTTGAAGAGGCTGTGGCCTCAATGCTGCCCCCTGCACTGCTTGTCAGCTCGCACATCTTCCCCACCCCCCTGCCCAGGAAGCTTCACGTGCTGTGTGCTTCTAGGACACCAGCTCAGGGGCTGGGGGTCACCTAACCCTTCAGAGCCAGGTCTATCTGACCCAAAGCTAGGCTTGCTCTACCATCCCGTGGGCCTGCCTTTCAACACTTGGCCTTCTTTGGAGAGGAGAGACCTGCCCTTCACCCAGCAGTTCGCTTTTCCTCATGTGTCCTGTCACTGTCCACCAGAAAGCTCCAGAAAGAGGTCTAATATGGCTGTTGCCACAGAACTGAAGAGCGGCTGCAGGGATGGAGGGGGAGGGAGGTCAGGGACTCCCCAACAGGGGGGAGGCCACCTTGGCATCTCAGGGCAGGGCAGGAATGGGGACAACAGCAGGCCTGGTGCATGGGCTCTGCTGCAGCTTTAGGACCCCAGAAGGGACCAACGCAGCATGCTGCCTGGTTGCCTGCCTAGGGCACGTCACTCCCCTTCTGCACCCCAGTTTCTCCATCTGTCAGCCACAGACAATGGAAGTGCCCCTCCTCATGGCAAATGAAGATGAACACAGTGTGGAGACATGCTGAGCTCAGTGCTCTTGAGAGGCCACCAGGCCTTTCTACTCCCTTGGTGGCTCCAGGGCCAGCCTACAGGGTTCTGGTGAGGAGGGAGCAGGGTAGAGGGGCCCTGCAGTTCAGGCTGTAGACCCAAGGGGGAGTGGCGGTGCTCAAGTTCTGGGGGCTCTAGAAGTCCCCCCTGCCTGAAGTTTGTGGAAGGGCCTTTGCTGCCCCGCCTCTCATGTCATGAGGCAGGAAGCCACCGTTGGCTGGTGGGGGCCAAGTAACTGAGTCACGGTCCATCCTGGTCCCAAGCGAGACGCCACATCTGGAAGTGTTTATATTGTGATTCCGCCCAAAACGTGGCTGTTGTCTTTTTGATGCTGCTGGCAGACACACACACCAACATACATGCACACGCACATGCACACGCACATGAACGGTACATGCTTCCCCCCCCCACTACCGTCCCCCAAAGAGACCTCCCCTGCACACAGAGGCCACGGACCCAAACACTCCAACCCACCCCCACACCCGCTCCCCCACCCCCTCCTTAGGATTTCCTGAAAACCCATAACTTTCTCCAGATGCGAGGCAGCCTCAGACTTGCCACGTCAGAAGAGACGGCGCAGTTGTTGCAAGAGGAGCAGGGGCGTCCTCGCTCGGAGGTGCTGAGGTGCGGCCTAGCGTGGCGGCCTGGGGGGCCCCCCAGCAGACAACCGGCCCCGCCAACCCAGTGTTCAGACTACCTGTTCAGGGGTTCTGAATGTGTACAGTAGTCTGCACATTGGTTAGGCTGGGCTCGGGCAAGCGGCACCTCAGGACGGCCCCCCCGCCGGCCCCCAAGCTCACTGCCATCCCCTGCAGTGAGGCAGACTCGGAGGTGAGTGTCATCACCCAGCACCCCGTTTCCTACCAGGGTAGAGATTCGAAGGGAACATGCTGGCAGGAAGAAGAGGGCCCTGGGGGTGGGAGAAGCAGCCCCAGGGACCCGCACAGGGAGCCGCAGGGCTCAGGGGGCCGGGGGGGGGGGCTCTGGCAGTTACTCTCCTACCCTACCCCACACCATATGCGCCTCCTCAATTATTTGTTTAATAAAGATATGCTGACGGCTTGCCTCGTCTCTGAGCCATCTCTAAGAAGCCCCAGGGCTGGCTGCCACATGTATAACCCGGAGGGCCCCCGCTGGGGATGGCAGCGTGGGCAGCGGGGCTGGAATCTGAGCCTGCTTTGTCTGGGCCACACAGAGTCCCTTGGGTTGGTTCTCACTACTGCCACCCTCAACTTCCCCTGCCTCAAGTCTGGGGCCCCCAGGGCGGCCAAAGCTCCTGCTATCAACCCTGGAGGAGGGACTGACCAAGGGCCCCTCTTTGAGTTAGATGTCCTGTGGAGCAGTGAACTGCCAGGCTGAGGTCTGGCCTCAGGAGCCTGGCCTGGAGTCCCTGCTCTGCAGACCCCACGTCGCTCTGCCTCTTCCTGATGGCTGATGTATTGCAGGGGCCGCAAGAGGGGCCTTTAGAACATAAAAGTCTCCTCTCCCCAACCCTGGCCATTTCCAGGAATGGTTATTGCCCATGGTGGGAGGAGGCTCCAGGCCACACCTGGTCTTGGCCCCAGTACATCCCAACCTTGTGAGGCCCACTGCATTTAGGGTTCTGGAAGGCAGGTATGGGTCCTGGGCACTACCCTGCATTTCAAGGTACCCCTGAAATGTTTGCATGGTGGCTCTGCTGTCCCTGGCCACCCTGGGTTTAGAACGAGCAGTCCAGACAGTCACTCAGGGGGCCCTCAGGGGGCCCTCAGGAATGGGATGGTCACATTTCACCCCCATATACTCTCCCTCAGAGTCACCTCATCTGGCCTGGGCTGCAGGCATGGTCAATACGTGGGACTGAGTCCAGGGAGCCTGCACTCACAGACACCCACAGGCATGTCCCCACCTGTGAGCAATGTCACAAATGAGGCACCCCAGCACCTACCGCATGGAGGACCCTTTCCCAAGTGGGACACAAGGCAAGTCACTGCTTGCAGCCTCAGTTTCTTCACCTGGCATATAGGGTAATAATACTGCCATCCCCCACCGGGTTGGTGTAAGGATTTAAAGAGGGGAGGAGAGCTTTATCCCAGGGGTAGGTCAGCTGCCAGGGGGCCCCCAGGGGCTAGGCACTCTCACAGGGGGCTCTCCCAAGCTCTGGAGGAGAGGGGAGGGGAGGTGGGGCAGCCCTCTCCTCCCAGGGTGCCTGGTGACACACCTGGGCCACACTGGTGGAGCTGCTGCCCTGGTGAGCGGAGACCACAGAAATGGGCAGGCCAGCCCTGCACCCAGCGCAGCAGGGAGGCAGTGGGGCAGCACGGACGAGGTCAAGACCAGGGCTCCGAGGCCAGGCATACCTGGCTCACTGCCTGGCTCTGGGCTCATGGTATGATATGGGGCAAAATCAGCACCTCTCAGCCTCCAGAGCCTCACCTGTGCAGTGGGGGACAGTTCCTACCCCACAGCAAGAGGGGCTGGGAAGACTAAATGACAGTGACAACCATGCCAAACCCCCAAACACTCACTGACCTTGGCACATGGCCTTGCCCACCCACCTCCATCCGGAGAGGGGGCAACCATGCTCCTAAGGAGACAAGACATAGATGTTGGGAAGACTGGCCCAATTTGCCCAATATCAGAAAGCGACAGGTGGTGTTTCAGGATCCAGCTGGGGTTGGGGCTGGCCCATCAGGCACCCAGCCTTAAGCCTAGAGTTCCCGTGCACAGTAGCTACAAAGGTTGGAATCTGGTGGGTGCAATGGGAGTAGAGCAAGGCTGGTGCTTCCCTCTTCAAACCCTAGAGGGAGATGGAGAAGGGGCACAGGCAGTGATTGCTGGCCACAAGGAAGAGCCCCATGAAGGAGGTGGAGCCGGGGCCCGGCCACCTCCCAGGGCAGAGCTGCCAAGAGCTCTGGCCCACGACTTCCACACGTGACAAAGAAAAGACACAGATGTCATCTTTAAGTGCCTGCATTTTGGGCCTCTGTCATGAGACCCAATCCAAATATCCCACCCTAGTATAGCCGGGGCCAAAAGAGAGCCAGCCTGAGGGCCACTCATGGGCTCCTCTCACTGGTGACTCTCTGCTGCTGATGTGTCCCTTGTCAGGGCAGCAACAGGAGGCCATACTGAGCAAGTGGTGTCACTCACAGGCTGTGAAGGCACGGTGCTGCTGTTCTGTCAAGAGAACTAAGCAAACCCATGGGCAGGGCTGGCCAGGACAAGGAGGCTGGGCCAGCATGGTGGTGGGAAGGGCCTGGATGACAGTGCTCAAGCCAGTACCCTGGAACCCTCAGCAGGCTTCTCAAGACCACGGCCTAGCGTCTCCTGTGCTGGGCACGGGAGGGGCCCAGAACAAGCCTCTGGCAAAAGCCATGACGACACTCCCCAGGAGCTCCTAAACGGGGTGCCATGGAGCCAAGTGCAACTCAAGGTGCCCCCACGTGTGTCAAAAAAATGTGCTCCATAGGGTTTTCAATGGCTGAGTTTCGGGGTCATCAGGCTTTTCTTCTAAGATACCTCTGGGTGGATTCAAACCTCCAACCACATGGTTAGCTGCCAAGCATTTAACCATTTGTGTACCAAGGGACTCCTAGAGGCCTGCCTAAGGCCATACAGCCCATAGGCAATGGAACCCAGGCAATCCAGGAGCCTGGGCACAGAACCCAAGGGTGCTCACCATGGCTGTGGAAGCTGGGATCAGTCCCCAGCCTTCCAGGCTGCTGTAGCTCCCCCTGCCTCTGTCTCCCTTTCCTTCTCCAGGAAGTCAAAGTCAACCCACTGTCACATTCAACTGCACAGGGCCATGAGGAGCTGTGAAGCCATGTGCAACCTGCAGCATGGTCACTGACCTCTAGGACTCTAATAGTGACTCTGAGGCACCTGGACCTGAGTGAGGGTGCAGGCAGAGAGGTGCTCAGGGGACATTTTTCGAGTGAGTGGCACCCAGAGGGAGCACATCTGGGGCACGCCCATCCACTTGTGCCTGAGTGTCTCCTCATAGCTAGATGACCCTGTCCTGGCAGCCACTCACCTCTTCATCCTTGTACCAGGACAGTGACTCGGCCGTCAACACAAACCAGTATTCCTTCGAGCCACCCTTCATCAAGCTGATGTTGTTGATGGTCAGCCAGCCCTTGCGGATCACCTGGAGGAGAGGAGGGGGCTCAGCGAGGGAGAGGACCCCATTGCCCACAGCCCGCCCTACAGCGCAGTGGCGAGCACCCCTCTCCCCACAGCAAGACGGAAAGCCGGGGACCAAGGCAGAGACACCCCCAGCTCAAAGCCAGAAACCCAAGTCCACCTTGGCCCACGCACTTCCTGCTGGCAATCACGGTGGGGTTCCTGCCAGTGGGTGGGCCAAGGGCAGCTGGGGACCCACATCCCTCCAGATCCCACTGCTCTCCTCTGACGCAGGGTCAGGGTGAGAGCCGGCCCAGGGGTGGAGTGTACCCGGGCTGAAGAAGCCCAGAGGAAGACGTCCAGGCCAGGGCCAGGTTGTGTGGAAGGTGAAAGTGGGGACTCGCACTTGGTCTGGTGAGGTGCGGTTCTTAGGGAGGCTCTTGGTCCCTGCCCCTCGAGCCCTCTGGGAGCACTATGGGTAAAGACTGAAGAACCGCCCCTGAGGAGCTGTGCTTCCTCGCCTTCCTCTTGGGTGCTGAGCGTGCTGAGTGGAACCAGTGGCAGCTCCCTTGCTTGGCCTCAACGCTGCCATCTGCCCTATGGCTGACCTGGGCTCAGTTGGGGCGGGGGGCAGGGCTCTCGGTGGGGGATCTGCTCTGACTGGGCCGTGTGGCCAGCCTCCTTCCCACTGGGCTCCCTTCCAGAGCAACAGTCTACCCTACGGGCTCTTTTAGGATAAAGGGACCCTATGACCAGAGGGCTGGGGAGAAAGTTTTGCATCCAAGAGACTGCCCCTAGGAACTGTGGCAGTGGCCTAAGGAGGGCTACATCAGAGTTAGGGGACACCTCCACTGGCTTCAAGCCTGGGGCCCCACTATCCTCTGACTGACATGTTGGGGTTCTGTGCTGGGAAGACCCCACAGATGAAGCCTGGCTGTCCACAGCTGTCATCGGGGCAGGCAGCAGACCCAGGCCTGCAGGAGGCACTCACCTGACAGCTAAATGCAGGCACCCAGGGGGCGGGCCCCAGAGCGGAGGGAGGGAAGCGACAGGCCCCAAAGCAAGCGTGGGCTGGAGCCCCTCAACATTCTGGTCTGGGGGCTCCAGGGCAGCAGGAAGCATGTGAAGCATGAGCAGGGCCACCTGGCACCACCGTAGGGCCAAGGACTGGAGATGGGGTCCTCCGGGAAGCCTCTGGGCAGGAGTGCTCCCGCGAGGGCGACTGGAGAGCAGTTTCCCCCTTCTGACCTCCCCTCAGGCCCACCAGTCCCTGGCAGGCTTCCCTCTCTGTGGCTGGGCATGGGCTCCTAGCCCCAGAGAGCCATGAAGGCGGAGGTGGCCAGAGTGCCACAGAAGTCCCTGCCCAGGCTGGGGACAGCATGAGATGCTGTCCGGGGCCCCAAATGAAGGCTGAGGACACAGACCTGTCTTCCTTAGGCACTGGCCCCAGAGATGATTAGGACAGCACTCACTAGGACCCTGCAGCTGTCTGGGAGCAGGCTGTGACCTGGCACCAGCCCAGTTCAGGCTGCCCAGTGGGTGAGGCGCAGAGGCTGCCAGCCTCAACGGGGTCAGGGAGTCCTTACTGGCAATGGGGTAACCGGTCATCCTGGTTTGCACAGGGCATTCTCAGTTTTAGCACTCTAAGTGTTCAGGGCATGTCCACAATCCCAGGCAAACTGGGACAGTTGGTCCCCCTACTGGAAAGTTAACCTTTAGACTTGGGCCTATCAAGGACCCTGAGAAGGACCCAGAGAGGAGCCCCTGCCTCAGGGTGGAGCCTTGGTGCTGCAGGGCAGAGGGCAAGGACAACCTATCTTCTCCCAGCCAGGCTGCCTGACCTCCGTCTCTCTAGCTGTCACCCCAATCCCAGAGTTGGGGCGTATCTATGTTCACAGGTGTTCTTCTCCCTCTCAGGGCAGGAGGGCCGGGCCCAGGGCCTTCTTCCAGCACCAGGCTCAGCGCAGGTGCTTCACAGACCTCAGTTCAGCTGCTGTCTGACTACAAAGGAGGAAGAATGCGGGACAGTGCTCCCGCCCAGAGGAGAAATCGGCACACTGTGAGGGCTCCACACACCAAGGCCCATCATGGCTTCCAAGAGGCAGATGTGCCCCGAGCCACCCCAAACCAGAAGCTGCTGGTCAGGCCTGGCAAATGCCTCTGGGATCCCCTTGTACCTGAAGCCACCCCGAAAGCTGCCTGCATGGGAGGCTAAGTGGGGTTAGATACAAGTTCCACTCTGGGCTGGTGCTAGCTGGGGCAGCAGACATAGGACCCTGAATCTAGGAAAAAGGACAGTGGCCAGGCCTCTGCATCAGAGCACCTGGCCATCCAAGGGGCCCGGGCGTAGAGTAAGCTATGAAGGAGACAGATGTGGCAGGCAGGGCTGCCACACCAAGGCACAGGGCATCAGGTGCAGCACAGAGCAGGCCGGGGGCGGGCCAACCGAGGACAGCCTAGCTCCTGCCCTGGTGACTGTCCTGCCTCCGAGCAAGGATGGAAACCACTGCTGGAGACCCTATGACCATCGCCACGCTCATGCAAGGATGTGGCTTGGTGGCTGTGGGTATGGAATCCAATAGGAATAGCAGTATGGTTAAGCCCCTGGGACCGCAGGACAGAAGCAGGCCCCTGGCTGCTTGTGGAGGAGGGCGGGGTAGCTCACTGGGAAGATGGGAACTGAGATCCGAGGGCAACTGGGTCCTCACCCCACCATTCCAGGCTTCTACTCTGGCCCTTTCTCTATCTTCCCGGAGCTGGGGCAGCGAGGTTTAACACAGGATTGGCTCAACTACTGGAAAGGTTCTGAAGTCGCCGTAAGATCAAATCAGAAGGGCAGAGGTGGGGCCCACCCAGTGCTTCAGTGGCTGCTGCTGGGAGTCTATGGGAGAAGGGGACCTCGACTAGGGCTATAGGCCCAGGCCGAGTTCTCTGATGGGGAGAGAGGTAGGGCCGAGGCCAGCTGCCTGGAGACAAGTACCCTGAAATGGGCTCAACCCGCAGACTTGCGCAGCGTCACTCCCCACGGGGCTGTGCTGTGCCTCACACCTTCCTCACGTCCCACACTGGGCCCAGCAGAGGGCTCCGCACACAGGGAGGCGGTGTCACCTACAGCAGGGATGGCAAATACAACTCATCTCTGTGGCCACGCTGACTAACTGGTAGTAGCTGGCCAAAGCACTGTGGTGAGGATTCTGGGCACAGTGGGAATGGGTGCTAGGTTCAATTAGTGATGTCTGCCACAGGCAAAGGAGAAGGGAAGGGGGGCAGTGGAACAGAACACCCTCATCAATTGTGCCACAAAGGCAGGAGGATAGGAGCAGCACCCAACAAAGAGTTCCCTGATCGATTAGTCATGTCTGTCATGGTTTCAGGACAGTTACCACATGAGGATATCATGTGGAAAATCCCATCTGCCACAGAATGAGGGCCAGTGGCATGTTTGGGAAAGAATGCCAGGATTGATTACCGATGTCTACCACTGGCACATGACAGAAGAGAAGCACAAAGGAAGGAGTGCTGGGTCAATGAGCAATGTCTGCCCCGGGCACGGAATGGGAGAATTCTGCCTGTGGAGAAGCAGGGAGGGTGGTATGTGAGCCAAGCATCTGCCATCCCTGACCGACAGGAAACCAGGTCAACCCGCTAAGAATGAGCGAGGGGGTGGGCCCTCCACAGGGTGGTGGTCAGGTTAGTGCCTGTGTAAGTCGACCTACGTCCAGGGCAATGCCAAGTCCAGCCAGCTCTGGCTGCAGTGTGGGGGTTTTCAGTTAGCTGGATGTTTAGTTATTTGTTATTTCAGGGGGAAGGGGATGTTACCAGGTAGGCAGGGTCTCTGTCACAACTAGATTCGCTAACGTTTGCTACCACACTAAGTGGGTACTTACCAAGATCTCCCCCTTTGAAAACACAAAGTTAGGGTTGTGGGTAATTCAAGGAGGAGCAGGCCGAGGAAAAGAGATGTAAGGGACATGAGGGGACAGAGAAGAAGCAGGAAAAGTACAAAAACGGGAGAAGAGAAGAGCACAAGAAAAACAGCAAAAGAAAAAAAAAATTACATGCTATTAATTATATTCATGGTGTTAATATTTAATTCATTATCATCTCCCGAAACAAAAAAGCAACAACATATGTATTACCTACAGCAAGCGCAAAAAAAAAAAAAAAAAAAAAAATCATGCAGTGGTTACATCTGTCTTTTCCAACAGGCCATATATTGTGCAAGATAAACAGGAGAGCCCCACCCCCGCCCCCCACCCAACGTGGAGAAGGGAGGATGTTGGCAGAGATTTTGCAAAGATGATGAATTTTGTTAGGGGAAAAAAAAAGGCACCTAATGCAATTATAAAGCCTTTCAGTTTCATGAGGCCTCTGGCTGCGGTAGGACATGGAGGTGGAAAACGCTTCATGTGGCTCAGGGTTTCCCAACGTGTAGGGCTCAAGTCACCCCCAGCCTCACCGGAGCCACTCCAAGGCAGCTCCCACCCAGCTGTGACCTACACGTTGGAATCCCAGGCATTGGGCAGCCCAATTGGGTCACTGTCACCTGCCCCTCACTTGAGAGTCAAGTTCTACCCCAGGCCTTCACAAAATCTGCCCCTGAGACCCTAATAGAGTGTCCGCTCCCAAACTGGTTTCCTGAAACATCAAAAGCTAAGCCAACTCCAGAGGCCAAGAGTTGGGGGCCTGGTACTACAGGGCCATTCTCTGAAGAGGCATTCCGGGTGTCCCTGAGCACTCTCCCGCCACCCTCACCCCCCCAGATGAAGCAGCGGCCGCGAAGGGGTGGGCTACCTGATTGGGGATGGCCCTCTTCTTGTTCAGCTGCGTGTTCCTCTGCTGGGCGCTGGAACCAAAGCACAGAGATGGCTCATGTGGATGACAAACCAGAGAGCAGGAGACCTTGTGGCCCAGGGAGGGTTTCCCCTGCAAGGGCCCAGCTGCCCAGCTAAAGGTAGATGCTGAGAGAAACCCCCTGCACACAAAGGGTTGCCACAGGGAAGGAGATGCTCAGAAATATCACATGAGAAAGTATCTGGTTAAACTGAGACTCTGGTCCCAGTCACTCTTGAAGTACCAGGTATTTCTAGGAGCCACTGAACCCTGGAACCTCTAAGAGGGCGCATGAGAAAGAAGCTAGATTCTCAGGTGGCCAGAAGGTAGTCACGGTGGCGCCAAGGTAACCTGAGCACCAGCCTGGATGGGGTCAAAATGCAGAGGCTCTCTTGTCCTACCCAGCACCACGGCTGAAGGGCTTGACCACTGGACTGTCAAGCCCGAGCCGATCAGACTCAGTAAGGCTGCTTCAACTTAAGGTGACCACCACGAAAACGCCACTCATCTTAGATGGCTCCTGACCCAACTGAGAGGACACTCGAGATCAACAGGGCATGCTTCCACAAGGTCCTTACTTGTCTAAGTCACTGATCTCTTCTCTCATCATCCATCCTATTTCCTTGTTTGTTCTTGATGGTACAAAGGCCTCAAAATTTTTTATGTGAATACCTACTCAAATTTCTTATTGGTTCCAAGATTACTTTCTAGTGCTTCCTGGTAGGCAGACATATCATTTGCAAACAATCTGTATCTTACTTACACATCACATTTTCTTATCTTATTGCTCTGGCTACAACTTTAAGAACAATATGAAAAAGTAAACCATCTTGTCTCACTCATGTATTTACTGACTGCCTCTGGTGTTTTATCTTAAAGCTCCAGTTGGCTGTTGGTTTAAGGTAGATGAGCAGGTGTGCACACACGTGTGTGTGCTAAGGAAGCGGGTTCCTTTTCCTAGATTACTGATTTATCCCAACGATTTTCCTAACATTCAGTGAGCTCATTATAGGGCTTTTCTCTGGGCCATGTTTAACGGCAGTGTGTAGAAGGCAGTGAGAAGCCATGAACATCTGAGTACAGGAAGGAGTTGGATCAACAGCGTCTAAGGGAGGCAGAATGTGCTTAGCCAGCACTCACAGCAAGGGCTGAGTACACTTTCTCTGATCTTCCTGGCTCCCATCCTTGCCAGCTCCCTCAAACGCCAGCCCATATGACAGTCTCTCTCCCTTGCCTGGACTCCATCATAAATTTCCCCCAGAGAGGAAGTGGAGAATCCGAAGTTCTGCCCTGAGTGTACAGGCCCCCTGGCAACGAGGCCTGGCCATTGTCGCTCTCAGTCCCACCCTGCCTTGGTTGTGTCCTTTCCATGCTTCTGTCTCTGGACCTTCCTTCTCTTTGTCCCTAAGACTCTCCCTCCTGTCACCTAGGTGTCACTAGTCTGCTTAAACAACACTTCCACAGGAAGGCCTTCCCAGGTCATGTTCCTTGGTCCCCTTTCCCACAGCCCCTCACCTACCCTTCTCTTTCCAACTCTCATCTCATCTTCCCGACAATTTGTTCAGCAACTCCATCTCTCCAGCCTGTGGGTTCTGAAAGGCAGGTGCTGTATCTAGCTTGTTTACTGCCCCAGTCCTAAGGCCTAGCACTGTGCCTGCCTATGGGAACATGCTCAGTATCTACTCAGTCGGACCCTGGGACAGCTCACCCAGGGTGGGGGCCTCGGCTTCAAAGCCTGGCACCCTGAGTCCCGCACCCAGCCCAGGTGTCCCCATTCACACATCAGGGAGAAGGCACACAGCAGGCAATACCCACCCGGTCACCAGCTGCTCAGTATAATAACAGCTGGGGTAAGTGGGAAGGCCCAGGAATCCAGAGCAAAGAGTGGAGTGGTCAAAGGAAAAACAGGAGAGATTGTGAGAAGGAACTGTGGATGAAGTGTGAGAAGCAGAGACATTAAGGTGAGGAAAACAGCAGCAAACCGAAGAGGGGGACCGGCGTTCTCTGTCCCACATGTGCCTGGGCTGCTGGCTGCCATCCCCAAGGCTCAGACCACCCGCTGAGGCGTGGCCCATCTGGACAGCCAAGTTCAGGGTTTGTGCCCACTCCCAGCAGGGATAGCCCAGCCAGGGCCCACAGCCCATCTGGACTTGGGAGAAACTGACCATGCCAACTGGCCACCTGTCTGCTCCTCAGGGAACTGTGCATTTGTTCATTCATTCATTTTACTTACCTACTATCAGCCCAGCAAAGAGCTCTGGTGGCATAGTGCCTAAGGCATGTGACTGCTAACCAGAAGGTTGGCAGTTCAAATGCACCAGCCACTCTGAAGAACGAAGACTGGGCAATCTACTTCTGTAAAGATTTACCACCTTGGAAACCCAAAGTGAGTCAGAATTGACTTAATGGCAGTGAGTTTGATTTTTGTTTACCTGCCCAGCACAGAACAGGTGGCCAGTCAACTTTGTGGAGCACACCAACAAATGTTCTGTTAAGGTGACACTTAGCCCAGGACTCAGCTCTAGTAAATCCTCCTCCAGGAAGCTCCCAGGACGCCCAAGGCCAGGCCAGAAGGCCCTCCTCTGCTTCCCTAGCCTCATCCCAGCACTGACCACAGTGCATCTTAACTGCCCTGCGCATGTGTCCCCTTGCGTGGGACTGTCCTTTGAGGGCAGGACCTGGCTCTGTCATCAAGTGTCTGGGGCAGCAATGAATGGCTAGGTGACAGTGAGGGTCCTGAAGTGCTATTTCCTCAGGGCCTCCTGGCTCCCACCTTGCCAGCTCCCTCAACAGCGCCCCACGGGATGGCCTCCCCTTCTAGCCTGGACCAGACGTGTCCTGTGCATGGTGTGGAAGTCATGGTGCCTCTCTGCCAGACAGACAAGGAGGCCGGCCACTGCTAATCCTTCATTCTGCTAGCCTTAGGCATGATCCACCAGGACAGTCCACATGACGCCCAAGTGCACTGAGGGGACCTGGAGGCTGATGGAAGCAGTGAGCCAACGGCTGAAACCACCAGCATTTCTATCTGCAGTCCCCTCAAGTCAGAGGTCTCCGCCCTCGCCCCTTACGCTGGTTCCATGGAAGGTTCTGGTTTAACCTGTACGGCTAAAAGCCAGAGAGACTCACAAGCTGAGCAGCGCCGGAGCCCTGAGCCTGCAAGAGGCCTGTGAAGAGGCCACCTACGGTGTGAGTGGGTCTCACAGAAGCTGTCAGTCAGGCTACGGAAGGCTGTGAAGAGTGTCAGCTGGACACTGGCTGACCGCATCCTTCCCAAGCATGTTTCACCACAGCACCGCCTCTTCTCCTTCAACTGTCCACTAAGATGTCCTACAGAAGATGCTTTACGCATAATGGGGACAGGGGCAACTACTAGCCCAAGAAAGCTTCCAAGCTCAGAAGTAGAACGTTCATGTGATGCTGCGCCTCACCCCGGGCCCCAGCCCTCCGAGGGAATCCCAACAGGATCACCTCCCCTGTGGCCCGGATCCCAGGGAAGGCACCGTGCCACCCCACCAGCTGCTATCCAAGTACATACTTGGCAAATCCAATGAAGTCCTCATGGTTCGTGTTGATGTAGGACAGCTCAATGTCAATCAGAAGAAGAATCTGGAGGAAAGGGGGGTGACTGTGAGGCCAGAACCAAGCAAGGCAGAGGAGAGCGGCAGCCGGAGTGCTCCCCATGCCCACCAGCAGAGGGGGCCCAGGAATTACGCCGCTTCCTATTCAGGGGCCCAATGGACACCCACACCCCTGGGTAGACCTGCAAGGGGGAGGGGGCATGGGTCCTCCCAGATATCAGGGCTTCACAGGCAAGTAAGATCTGAGGCAACAGAACAGAGGGAGGCAGCCCACCATGGGCTCTTACTCTGAGGTTGAACACTGGGGTGGCCACTGGGTGGCTCTGCCTTGTGCTACTGAGAGTGGAATGAGGCCACAGGAGGCCCTACTTCAAAGTGTCAAATCATTTACAACACAGAAAGCTAGACTAGTGCCTGGCATCTTGTAAGCGCTTATAAAAATAACAGATAAATAAAAATCTAAGATAATTCAGAGGTTGGATGTTTCAACTTTTGATCGAGCCAACTGAGAACATTAAAATAACAAAAATACACACACACACACATACACACACAAGCATGGAAACCAGTTAAGGATATCATTTCAGACAAGAACAGAAGGTTAAGCACTGTGCTGGCTAAAACTCTCCCCCTTTTCCTTCTTGTCCTTTTTTGGCTCAGGATAAGGTTGGCCTATGGGAGCCACTGGCCCAGACAGCCCATTGGGTTGGTTCTCAGTTAAGAATGGACCAGACAGCCTCGGAAGAGGGAATCAGGTGCTATGTTCTGGGCTCTCATTGGCCCTGCCTGTCACTCTGCCTCGGTGTGCCTCAGCATCCTCAAACACAAAACTGGCAAAGCATGTGGACCTCACAGGGTTGTTGGAAATCACAGGTGTTCTGCCTATGGGAGCCACTGTCATGGGTCTGACAAGGCCTGGGGGCCCTGGGTCCAGCTTAGTTGTGGAATGTTTAGAAGGACGATATCATTCTTGCAAAAGAAGAAAATCAACTGGAACCTCTCAAGCTTTTTTTGAGGGGACGGTGAGTTCTCCTTTATTTTTTTAAAAATTTTATTGTGATTTGGGTAAAAGTTTACAGAGCAAATTCATTTTCTATACAGCAGTTTATACAGGTTTTGTTTCATGACATTGACTGCAATTCCCTACAATGTAACAGTTCTCTTCCCACCTCCTCCCTGTGTCCTCCTTTCTTACACATTCCTGCCCCCTGAGCTGTCTCCCTGTGCAAATGCTGCCCTTCTGTTCTCCCACCATTGATCGTTCTAAGGAGTGTATCTACCTGATGCAAATGTTCACTCCATCTGCCTGTCTGTTCTTTGGCTAGAAGCCACAGGAGTGAGTTCAATTCCAGACCTGAAGGCTACCTAGGGGCCATACTCTTGGGGGTCTCACCACAGTCTATGAGACCAGTCAACCTGGTCTTTTTTTTTTTTTTAATGAATTTGAGTTTTGTTTCACATTGGAACCTCTCAAGCTTTGTATGCAACTTCTAAGCTGTAGAAATCACAAGGGAAAGGGGCACCAACTGACCAAATCTCCAAGGGAGTGACTGGCCAAATTCAGAAAGTGGGACGTTTTGAAGGACAAATGAGCCAGTTCTTTCTTCAACAGGGAGGGGGAGAGGGCCTGTGGTAGTTAAGGTTGTGTGTCAACTTGGCTGGGCCTGGTTGAGTGGCTGGGCAGCTGGATGTAGAATTCCCCATGATGAGACTAGTAATCAACTCCATGGGGGAATGTGCTGTGAGCAGCTAAGTAGCTGCCTTTGGGATGTGGTCTGCTTCCTGTATATTACTCTTTATATATACTCTTTGAGAAAGGTCTCTGAGCTTTTTGGCACAACTGGATCCTGCATTTGGCCAAGTCTTCATCTCAATCACCTACCATGTTGTCTGCCAATCCTGGGACTGTTAATGGACTTGAATTAAGGGGCCTGCCGTGTTGCTTGATAATTTTGAAACTGTGCCATTTTTTACTTGCCGATGTTGGGTTTGTCAGCCACAGTAATCAGCAGTTGTCTGAGTTAAGAGAAGCCTCCAGCTCCAGCGGGCTGGGAACAAGAGGCAGAGCTGAAGCCCAAGGTCGAGAGGCTCTCACCCAGCCCCCAGAACTGGCACTTTGAACTCAGACTTCTGGTTTCCAAAACTGTAAGAGAATAAATCCCTGTTTGTTGAAGCCATCCGCCTGTGGGATGTCTGTTAAGCAGCACTAGAGAACCAAAACAGGGCCATTCTCAGCTAAGAGGCTTAAGAGATACAACAAGCAAATACGTGTAGACTCATTTAGATTCTGATTCCAACAAACAACTGCAAAGAGACCACAGAGAACATGTGAGGGGACAGTGAGGACCAGGTGTTGGGGGTGTGAAGGCCTGACGACAATGGCCAGGGCCTGTGTGAGAAAATGCCCCACGTGCCCTGAGTGGCCAGGAACTAGACGTCAAGCTGAAATGGCAGCCTGTCTCCCCTGGCTTGAAATCCTCTAGGTAGGGAAGGGAAGAGAGGAGGCAGGAGACAGGTGAGACAGAGCAGTGATGGTCCCCGAAGCAGAAGGAGCCACAGGAGTGCTCTGGTCCACTGTCCAGCTTTGTGTCTTGCCAGATAGTAAACACAAAAAAACACCCAAAGGTCCCCCCCCAGGTGAACATGTAACCATCCAGACCATGGCACACAACTCTGCAAGACCACTGAAACACAGAACACACACACAACTAACAACCCGCACAAGCCAAAACCACCCAGACCAAGTAACACAACTCTGCAAGGGTACCAACATAACAGTCCCACAGCCAACAACCCAGACGAGCTACAAACCATCCGGACCATGGAACAGAACTCAGGAAGACAACTGACACACTCAACAACCACACAGTCAACAACCTGGACAAGCCTAAACCACCCAGACCAAGTAACACAACTCTGCAAGACCACTGACACACACAACAGTCACACAGCCAACCACCCAGACGAGATACAAACCATCCGGACCATGAAACAGAACTCAGCAAGACCACTGACACACACAACAATCACACAGCCAACAACATGGCTAAGCCACAGACACATCCCACTGCATGAGAAAGACCACTCCAGCCTTTGGTGGTGGTGCTGGTGCCTTCCAGGTGGTCTGACTCACAGTGACACTGCGTACAACAGAACGAAGCACGCTGGGTCCTGTGCTGTCCTCACAATCCCTGCTGTGCTGGAGCTCATCAACCCATCTCACTGAGGGTCTTCCCCCATTTGCTTGACTTTTCAAATTTTGACAAGGGATTCTGGGTTGATCATCTCCAATCCAGCCGAGTTTCTCCCTTTCCTCCCTTTTCCAAATGAAGAAAAGGGTTCCAGTCACATGACATTCTGGAAAAGGTCAAACTACAGGGACAGAGGATAGACCTGGGTGAGAGGGGAGAAGCTCATTAGAGGGGTGCAAAGAGTAGGAATTTGGGAGTGATGGAACCGCTCTGTGTCTTGAGTGAGGTGGAAGTCATATTATGGTAGGAATCTGTCAAAACTCATAGGACTGTATGTTACACAAGGTAAATTTTCCTGCACATACATTACATCTGAAAAATAAAACAAACAACCCAATACCTGGTCCTTGGTTTTGCCCTCCCGTTCCCGGATGTGTGTGGTGACGATTCGCTCCGTTTCTTCTCGTAACCGGGGGTAGGAACTGAGCTGGGGGAAGAAGCAGAGTGGCAGCATCCGCTGGGGCCTCAGGCCCAGGCAGCAACCTCATGGAAAATTCAGGTGGGGGGGGCGAGGAGAGACACAGGGAGACCCACCGAGTCCCCCATGCTGCTCGTCACCGTGGCTGCTTCAGCAGGCAACAAAAGTGGGGCCGTGGAGGGTGACAGCGGACTAGAGAGTGCGCGTGAGAGGGTGCCGTGCGAGAGCAGAGTGGCTTTTCTAGTCAGCGAATCAGAAGAAAGGAGGCAGAGAGAGCAGGTGGTGTCCCCTTCCCCCCAGCACTGGGTGACAATGAGGACACCAAGTGTGCTTAAGGCTGCTTGGGTCAACGGGGCGAGGCCCCTCGCCAAGCCTGTCAGCGTGTAGCACCTTCCCTAGGATGGTGTGGCAGCACCTGGGCCATCTACCTCGGTGGGACGCCCTGAAGAGAACAATTTCTCATCACTTCACCTTTGGAGCCCGGGCCTCTAGTGCCCTTCACTGTCCCTTGCCTTTGTCTGCAGGCGGTAACCAAACACACACACAGGGGAACCACATCTTCTGCACTCAGGGTTAAGTCACAGGTTGGGACAGTTGAGCAGACAGTTAAAGTGACTCAGGGACAACCTCTCCAATGTCCTGACTAGAACATGCAGGTCTGCACACCGACGTGGCTCACCCGTGGTGACGAGTAGAAAACCCACTGCCTTGTCCTCTCTCTCTAACGGACACTGACCCTCACAGGGCTGCCTGTAACCCCTGGCTGCTTAGTAAACGTGACACACTGGGTGGCATCAAAGGCCCTCACTCCCACCAGTAGCCAAAAGGGCAAAGGTAGAATGCAGGTACCACTCAACTCCCCCAAACCATGTCTGCCAGCGTGAAGCTGAGCCGTCGCTAAGGTCTACAGAAAGGGTTTCCTGCCGAGGCAGAATTTTCCAGATGCCAGGTTAAGGCTAACAATGGAGGGGAGAAGATGAGGGGTATACATGTGAGTGATAATAACGAAACCTGTTACCTTCTCGCCACACTTTTTAATGACTGTGGCCAGTTCTGAGACCACGAGATCAACACACTTCAAAGTTGGCTCTTTGAGTTTAACAATCTGTTTTTTCACAATGGCTTCAAAGGCCATGTCGGGGGTGAAGAGCCCCGTCCTGGGTCATGCGGAAGGCGGGATGAGGTAGAAAGACACCCAGGGACAGGGCAGGCCACACACACGGGACGGGACACACAGAGAGAGAAGAAACAGAGTCAGCTGGTTAGTAACGTGCGTGGAGGAGCCTGTGCCCGCATCTGCCCCAGAAGCTGCTTCTGATCAGAGCCCTCCTGGGTGGGGGCCTGGCTCAGCGTGGGGCTTGACTAGATCAACGTGTCGCAGGTTGTTCTCGTCCGACGGACGGCCAAGGGGAGCAGAGAACGTGAATTTTCAAATTCAGGACAAAAGACTCTGGGTTGATCATCTCCAATCCAGCTGAGGCTTTTTTTTTTTTTTCCCCTTCTATTTCCCAATTGAAGAAGCTTAAGAAGCAAATGTGGGCTTCCAGACTGAGAACAGGGGGCTGAAGCCAAAACCTCCTGCCTTGGAGAGCCGACCCATAGCTCTGACAGCTACTCGTGGGCGCACAGCACAAACCGCCCACTTGGGAAGCACTTTAGCAGCTTGGCCAAAGCATGCTGCCCTGGGAAACAGGCCCTTCGGGAAGCCAGGTGCGACCCGCTGAGTGGAGGTGGTTGCTTGTGACCACCGGCACAGAGGGGGCTTGTGACTGAGAGGCTGTGAGGATGCTGGCTTAGGCAACAGCTCGAGGAGCTGTGGAGCCGATTACTGGCCAAGCGGGCATTGAGCCGGTGACCCCAGCATCGTTATGCTGCTGGCGTTCAGGCCTTTTACAGAGCCTTGGAGACAGAGAAGTGGCTTGCTCCAGGGAGCCCGAGGGCGCAGGCATTTGTCAAGGAGAGGCCACAGTCAAGGAAGGGAGATTTGAGGAGCTGGGCCTCCAGCAGCCAACACGGGCTCCCTCTCTGCTTCCCAGAAGGCAGCAAAGCAGCAGGACAAATGAACCCCCAAATTCTACTAGACACATGCTAGGCTTGGTATCAGGGTTCCAGGGAGATCTCCCCACCAGTTTGGCCAGTTTGGAGGCCCGACACAACCTGGTTGAGCCCAGGCTGACATGCTCCCACCCCAGCCTCCGAGCAGAGGCCAAAATCTGGGAAACCAAAGCAACGTGGGGAAAAGGTGCCAGCTGGACAAGGGACGAGGCGGCACTGGGAGCCTGATACCAAATCCCCACGCCCGTGTCCTCCAGGCCAGGAATCACCCTTTGCAGGGTCCAATACCTTACTGGTACACTGCCTAACTGTATTGATTAGTTCCTGGATAACCAGGTCGACACATTTCAGACAGGGCTCTTTCAGCTTGACGACCTGCTTTTTCACAATGGCCTCGAATGCCAAGTCCGGGGTGAAGAGCCCAGTCCTAAAAACATCCATACCCGGGGGCAGGGGAGATAAGTCAGAGAGAAACAAAGCACAGTCAGCAATTCCACAGTCACTGGCCGGGTCCCCAAGAGAGAACAAAAGTCGGGTCAAGTCTGGGGTCAGAGGCCTGCGTCCACTGCCTAGAAACCCCTAGGGTGACCCGAGGACCCCAGGACAATATGCAAATGGACAGGCATGACTACTTTTGTTGGACTAAGGAAGAAGTCCCAGGACACATGCAGTAGACCTTGGGTGGGGTCTCATAACTGCAATTCTGCTCTGCTCCCTTCTCCCCACCGGGCACAAGTCTGCAATGGGCTTCCTTACTTTACCACAGTGAATACAGGTCACGCCTAGCTACTGGGTAGGAACCCAGGCATGTTGAACCCATGGACTGTCCTCATGGCCTGTCCACAGGAGGACTGAAGCACTCTGCCCTCAAGGGCCCCTGTAGACCCACAAGGAAAGCCTCACAGCAACTGGAAGCTAGCCAAGAGCCCCCTGAAGGCCTCAAAATCAGGGTGCTCAGAAGTTCTGGGGCCCAACTGGCTGAAGGGTGGACACTGCAGAGGTGAAGGGAAGATGGCAACTCTCCCCGTGGAACTTGCCTGACTCCATGGATGTTCTTAATGGCGTAGCTGATCTCTCGTCTTAAGTCCTTCTCATCGAACTCCATCTGAGGACAGACAGACAAACCAAATGCATGCAGGGAGCTACCTGTAGCAGGCCCTAACAGGTGTGCATTTGGAGAACATTAGTTCCCACAAATCAAACAGCATATTGTATTGGGCAAATATGCTACAAAAGAGCTCTTTAAAGTGTTAAGCTCTGAGAACTAAGGCATGCCTGACCCAAGTCATGGTATTTACAATCGCCCCATATACATACGAGAGCTAGATAATGAATAAAGAAGACTGAAGGATCAATGACCTTGAACTGTGATGTTGACAAAAAATATGAAATATATCATGATCTGCCAGAAAAACAAATAGTATCTGTCTGATAAAAAGTACAATCAGAATGTCCTTAGAAGCAAGAATGGTAGGACTTTGTCCCACTTATTTTGGACACGTAATCAGAAGGGACAAGGCCCTAGGGAAGGACATCATGCTCAGTAAAAGAGAGGGTCAGCCAAAAAGAGGAAGACCCTCAAAGAGATGGACCGGCACAGTGGGCTCAAACACAGACATGAATGTGAGGACGGTGCAGGACCGAGCATGGTTTCTTCTGTTGCACCAGGCGTCTCTATGAACTAGAGAAATGACTCGACAACACCTAGCAACAGCTCCGATGTGTAGCTGTATTTACAAGGCAAGATATTTCCACTGTCAAAATTAAAATAGAAAACAACTCAGCTACAATCACAGAACTATACGTAAATAACGAAAAATGTGAATACATCTAAATGTTGAACAACAGAAGCCTGGTTAGATGTGTAATGGGACATCTGCAAAACAGTATACAGGTAGTCCTCAACTTACAGCAGGGTTCCATCCCAACAATTATTCCATCATAAGGTGGTTCAGTATCTTTATTAATCCAATCTTTGCCATCAGGGATTGGAAACATTACATCTGAGAATGATAGAATCAGCATACTACGTGCAGTAACACTGATGTTACTAGCAGTAAGATGCACACACACAAAATGGACAGTCAAGATTGCAATTCATCTCGGTAACTTGAATGCACTGTAATCGAGGACTACCTCGTACAATCCGTATGGACTAATTTGCAGAGATGGCCACCATTATGAAGAAAGTAGAGTACGAAAGACATAATAAGCTTTGTTGTTGTTATGTGCCGTCGAATTGTCCCTGACTCATAGTGACCCCTCCTTGGGTTTCTGAGGCAGTATCACTATGGAAGTAGATTGCCCCATCTTTCTTCCGAGGAGTGGCTGATGGGTTTGAACCGCCAGCCTTCTGGTTAGCAGTCTATGCTACCAGAGCTCCTTAATAAGCTTTAGGTTAAAAAAATACACTTTGATGTTGCTGTTAGCTCCTGACTCATGGAGACCCCAGGCACGATGGGAAAACACGCCCCCTGGTCCTGCATCATCCCCACGATTGCCTGTGAACCAGACCACTGTGATCCACAGGGTTTCCATGGTCTGCTTTTTCAGAAGTCAGCTCACCAGACCCTTCTTCCCAGTCTGTCTTACCCTTGAAGCTCCCCTGAAACGTGCTCAGCACCCTAGCAACACGTGATCTACCGCTGACAGACGGTGATGGCCGCACGTGAGGTGCATCAGCTAGAAACCGAACCGGGGGCTCCCACATGGAAGGCAGGAGCTCTATCACTGCTGCCTCAAAAAATATTTAAGTACGGAAATCAGGCTGCATCCACGCGCTGCGTGTATGCATGCGGGCTGCTTACCCAGCCACACAAAATAATCCTGAAAGGACGCACACCAACATGCTAACAAGAGTTGTCTGGGGGGTGTTAGGAGGATAGGTGTTTTTCTCCTTTTAGTTTTCTTTCTTTTTCTCTTTTAATGAAAAGAATGGTACTGTTTTTTCTAGGTGTGCTGCTGCAGGCTGCTTCTGTAATCTGCATATCCTCCTTTCAACAATATGCTGGGACATCATCCCACATCAATTCACCTCATTTTCTGTGTGTTTTGCAAAGAATGTGTATTCCTCTCTGTGACAGGGAAAAATGGAACCCTTGTCCAGCTCCATGGACATCTAAGCTGCCCCCTCTGGATAGAGATGCCCTCGATGGGGACTCCATCCCCAGGGGAGTTCTTCCCAGTGTGAGTTCATCGAGTACTCCTGAGTTGAGCAGGAGGGGACAGAGGACAGAGATGGGGGCCCAGCCCTGGCAGTGCTACCTTCACCAGCTCGAAGGGAAAGCGCTCGTGGAAGATGCGATTGATGCGGGCGCCCCCGGAGAGCTCCAGTGTGTCCACCTGGTCGCCCGAGCCCTCGATCCTCTTCTCAAAGTCCACCCCAAACTGCTGGACCATCCTGTGAGGAGAGGGAAAACCTGGCATCAAAGCAGTTTTAGCACAGCCCTGGAAGCCATCTTCTGTCAGATCGTGCCTTACTTCCTCTTTAGCTTTCAGCAGCAAAATGTGTGTGCATGTTAAAACAAACACACAAACACAACCCTTGCCTCGAGGCAGGCATGCTCTCGGCACTTCACATGCCAGTGCTCGGTACCTCCAGGGGTTGTGGTGGGGGTGGTCTTTTCTTACTTCCTCAGCTAGCAACTTCTGTCACAAGGCTTTGAGAAAAGGCCACCACTTCAATTCAAAGGCTCCGATTGGCTCCTGCCACCTCCCTAAGTGTTGTGATGACGCAGCTGCTCTGGACCATCCTCCTGCCCAGCCTGGAGCCCCGTCCCCTAGGATGACATCTACCATCATCCGTGGTCCCCCTGCCCTGTTATCTACAGACACTGACCCTGACATTCTGCGTGGCTTCACTGAGCAGGGAGTGGGGAAGAGTTTTAAACACTGAGAATGCAAAGCTTCCTACTGACCAGCCTGTTTGGCTCTTGACCTCACCGCTAATGGGCTGGGAAGCCTTGGCAAGTAACTTTGCTCCTCTGAGCCTGATTCCTCTTCTATGAAGCAGGGTGGTCATCACAGCACCTACACATGAAGTCACTGTGCTGATCCAAGGAGCTTTTATATGTCACAAACTCCAGGAAGTCACCGTGCATGAAATACACCGTCATTTTGAGCAGCCACAGAAAAGAAAGTGCGTGGCTAATTAGTGGTGATTTGCCTGAGACTAAAAGATGCTTTCCGATTTCTGAGAAGCTAAGTTTTTTTTTTTTTTAAATACCCATGTGATTGATGAAATGTGGTAACAATCACATCTCTAACTGCTGGTTACTCATTCTGTGATGATGTGAACAGTGGAAAACTAAAACAACTTTATCAGCATTTTGATGTCCTTACTATTTCTGCCTTAATCACCTCATTTGTACTCCCTAAATTCTCCATCTACTCAAGTATTCTGCAGAGTTTAGCTGCTCCAATTAGGACCAGCTCCCAGCCAAGCCTGGGGCACTGAGCCCACAGTTCTTTAGCAGACAGAAGTCCAGCTCTTACAGGCAAATACAGCTGAGGCCAGTGTGCTGCCAGGGTGGCCAAACACTGGGCCCTGGGAAGAGCTTCTCCATCCAAGCCGCAGGGGGCCACACAGGCGGCCCGAATCCCACGGAGCTCTTTTGCCACAGAGAGCAGAGGGCATGCATACTTAATTTCTTCCGGGAGACACACAAGACCTATGTGAATTCTGTACTTGGAATGGAGCAAACCGAGGCCAAGTTGTGACAGGCAAGTCACTACAGCAGGGCAGAGTGAGGCTGTTTCAGGGTGTGGAGGGACCTCAGCCCCCTGCCACTAGGTGCAGAAGAGAGACAACCACGCAGCCCACGAAGCCAAAGTTGACGGGGCCAGCTCAGGGTGCGCTAACAGCATCCTCACTGGTATGGGCAGGTAAGGTAATTAGGAACAACCAGCAGCTCTTAGACATGACAGGTGCTGAGCGTACAGCCACAATCACATCGTTAGGGATGTGCATTCCTGTTGCCAGTTTTCCCAGGCACAGGGACCCATGCAGAAAGCACAAAAGCTGAGGGAAGAGAGCAGACCAGAAAGATGTCCTGGTCACTCACTCTGCCTGTGGACAGAACCTGCCAAGGCTTTTAAATGATCTGCCACAGGATGGAGGTTACAGATAAAGGCTGTGCACAATGTCATCCCCAACACGGGGCAATGACAGAGTTGTGCCAGGGTGGAGCAAAGCCAGGTACGAGCCAATCCATCGGAATGGTGATAAAATTTAAAACGGTTAGCTTTGGTATCATTGGCTCCCTGGAAGCCAGGCAAGTACGTGACCCCGGGAATGTGCCCGGAATGTGCCCAGACATGAGCCCTGGAGGGTGGGCACAGACAGTGGCGCTTCCTCTCTGGAGGCCATGTTACCTACCCGTATGTAAATGCACATGTGCCTGGCTGCAGGGACCCCTTGTCTAAAAGCCTATCCCACAGGAACTCTCACACATACTCAACGCTGACTCCGCTATAGGAAAAGATGCCTGAATGTCACGTGTCCTCTTGGAATTCTGTACCATGTGAACCCACCAGTGCCATCGAGTTACTCCGAGCCATGGCGGCCCCACTGTCAGAGAACTGAGCTTCACAGGGTTCTCAACAGCTCACCTCACAGCAGCAGATCAGCAGGCCTTCATCTGTGTCACCTCTGCATGGACTTGAATGAACACCCAGCCTCTGGCTACCATCTGCACCACCCAGAGAGTCCCAAACACCGTGAACCCCCAGCAGCTGACACAGGGCCCTGGGCTGTCCTCCCTGTAGCAGTCGGAGGGCGCCTGTGTGCACCTGAGCCAGGACGCGTCCCTCCTCTGCCACAGCCCTCCAGGGTAAAAGCCCAAGTCCTTACCTCTTCACACAAGAGCCTGCATGATCTGTTTTGTCCCCCCCCAGCCCTCACCAACTCCTGCTCCCCATTCGCCCACTCCTTCCAGCCACACTGGCCTCCTTGCTCTGTGGCCCACACTCCAGGGATAGTCCTGGCTCAGGGCCTCTGCACTGGCCGGGCCCCCTCCTCACCTCCCACAGGTCTCTAGTTAGCTCTCACCTTCGCAGGGAGGCCCTGTCTGATCACTGTTTAAAGCTGCAGGCCTGCCTACCCTGGCACTCTCTAGCCCCTCCCCACATCAGTATTTCACCATTTAATGCACTGCAAATTTGGCTATTTACTTATTTTCTGTTCCAATCCCCATCTGAGGTCCTGAGGTCAGGGATGGGTGTCTGCCTCACCCACTGCAGTGCCTGCAATGCTTAATGAAGGGCCTGTTGGACATATGTTTGCTGAATTTACTGGTACCCTGTGGCTGGATGAACAGCCCTGGCAGTACAATGGTTAAAGCACTCAGCTGCTAACCAAAAGGTCAGTGGTTCGAAGCCACCACCTGCTCCATGGCAGAAAGATGAGGCAGTTTGCTTCTGTCAAGATTTACAGCCTTGCAGACGATATTTCTACATATATATTTGTATGTGCTGGAAGAAGATTCATATAACTAGAACTAACAGGGCAAAGTTATGATAATTTCTTAGCCACAGTCACCCACCCTGAGGGAGCGAGTTGTTGGACCTGTGGGCTCAGGACCATGTCACAGGGGACATCAAGCTCAATTGGTATAACATACTACACAAAAACAGTGTACTACATCCTACTTTGGTGAATAGCAACTAGAGTCTTAAAAGCTTGCAAGCAGGCATCTAGATGCAACAATTTGTCTGCATGAAGAAAACCAAAGACACATGGAAACTATTAGTCCAAGGGACTAGTAGACCATGCAATCCTCAGCCTATCTGATCATGAGACCAGAAGAACTAGATGGTGCCCACCTACCACTGTCAACCACTTGGAGGGGGATCTGTGTAGGTGGTCCTGGAGAGAGTGGGAGAACAATGTGGAACAAAACTCAAAATCATTAAAAACGACCAGGTTTACTGATCTGAAAGAGCCTAGTGAAACCCCCGAGGCTATGGTCTCTAGGTACCTTCGGGTCTAGAATTGAACTCACTCCTGTGGTTTCCAGCCAAACAACAGACAGGCATACAGGGTGAACATTTACATCAGGTAGATACGCCTTAGAGCAATCAATCACGGGAGAACAGAACTGCAATATTTGCACAAGGAGACAGCTCAAGGGGCAAGAATGCATAGGAAAGGATACAGGGAAGAGGTAACTACAGGGAGGAAGCGGGAAGAGAGCTGTTACATGGTGGGGAATTGCAGTCAATGTCATGAAACAAAATGATTGAACTGCTCTATGGAAAACAAATACGCTCTGTAACCTTTCACCCAAATCACGACAAAAATTTGGAAAAAAAAAAAAAAAAAACAGGCTTATTGGTCTGAGACACTGGTGAAACCTCTAAGACTATGGCCCCAAGTCACCCTTAGGCCTTAACTGAACTCACTCTCATATCTTCCAGCCAAACAATGCACAGGCATATAAGATGAACATTTACATGAGGTAGATGTGCTCCTTAGAACAATCAATCACGGAAGATCAGAAGGGCAGTACGTGAACAGGGAGACAGCTCAGAGGACAGGAATGTATTGGAAAAAAAGACAGGGAAAAGTTAACCACAGGGAGGAAGTGCAAAGAAAGCTGTTACATTATGGGGACTGCAGTCAATGTCATGAAACAAAATGTGTATGAACTGCTATATGGAAAACGCATTTGCTCTGTACACTTCACCCAAATCACAATAAAAATAAATAAAAGACGTACAGCCTTGGAAACTCTATGGGGCGGTTCCACTCTGTCCTCTTAGCATAGCTATGAGTTGGAATCAGCTTGCTGGCAGTGGGCTGGGCTTGGTGGCTGGCTGGAAGCTAAGAGGGGTCAACAAAGGCCCCTGGTGAGTCAGTCTGGGGGCAGGGGGTGGGGGGACATACTGCAGCAGGGCTTTGGTTTTTCGCGTGGGGTCATCGGGCCGGAAGTTCTTGTACTCTTCCACCTCCTTCTCCAGGGATAGCAGCTGGCTCTGCAGCTTGCTGCGCAGGGTTGGCAGCGACTCCCGGATGTGGTTGGTCAGTTGCTGCAGGAGAGAGGCCAAAGATCAGTGGGAATAGGAGGCTGGGAAGGGGCAGGCCTGCCTGGAGCAGGGCAGAGTGTGCCCCAGGGCACCCTGCACACACCATGGCCTTGAGAGAATGCACCAGAAACACCCAGCCACAGGTCCACTCCCACACGGGCAAAGAAGAAGGGCCCAGCACTGCCCACAGGGTGAGACACTGGTGCAGCCGCAGGTCCTTCCTAGGAAACGAGGCCAATCAGTGGTGGTGCTCACACCAGGGAGAACCATGTGAGTCTTCACCAGGCCAGGCACGGGCTGGTCTGGAGAACCACCTCCCACAAGCATCACTCCATGTCCCGGTGAGAAACAGTCCCTGCAAGCTAAGGCAGAAAGATCGTCCCTAGAGAGAAGGCCAAGGGGACCTATGATGTGAGAGACAGGGACAGCATAAGGACATAGTTGCATACTGGCTGCATTTGTATAAGCAAAGAGGAGTCAGAGAAACAAACGTGGAAGGAAAAGGGAGAATGAAGTAGATGGACAGGGAGAGACCCCCTCACCCCACCCTATGCAACCCTTGTCTCTGTGTTGTTCTGCTTGGAACCATGTGGGTTATTATTCATGCACTTTAAAAGGAGGTGGCTATTGTCCTTAGCTGCCATCTAGTCAGTGCCCGACTCATGGTGACCCTATGCAAAACAGGATGAAACACTGTCTTGTCGTGCTCTGTCCCCATGGTTGGCTATGGACTGGCCAGCTGTGCTCCACAGGGTTTTCACTGGCTCGTTTTTGCAAGCAGATTGGCAGGCCTTTCTTCCTAGCCTTAGTCTAAAAGCTCCACGGAAACCTGTTTAACATCACAGTAACATGCGAGCTTCCGCTGACAGATGGGTGTGCTGGCTGCACAGGGAGCACGCTGGCTGGGAACAGAACGTGAGTCTCCTGCATGGAAGGCAAACATTCTACTACTGAGCCGCCACTACTGCCACTGTGCCCAAGAATATGGAATGAGGTCCTGGAGAGAGCAGGAGAGCAACGGGGGACAAAACTCAAAATCATAAAAAAGACCAGGTTTGCTGGTCTGATAGAGCCTGGTGGGACCCCTGAGACTATGGGCCCTAGTCACCCTTCAGGCCTGGAATTGAACTCACTCCTATGACTTCCAGCCGAACAACAGACAGGCAAAGGGGGTGAACATTTACATCAGGTGGATGCACTCCTTAGAACGAACAATTGTGGGAGAACAGAAGGGCACAGGGTGACAGCTCAGGGGGCAAGAATGCACAGGAAGGAAGGACACAGGGAGGAAGTAACTACAGGGAGGAAGTGGGAAGAGAGCTGTTACATTGTGGGGAATTGCAGTCAATGTCATAAAATAAAATGTGTATGAACTGCTGTATGGAAAATGAATTTACTCTGTAAACTTTCACCCAAATCACAATAAATTAAAAAAAAAAGAATATGGAATAATCCCCAGGATGTGCTACTAGAGAAAAATGAGGTACAGAACAGTGAGCAGGATGTATTACCATTTAGACTGGAAAAAGGAAGGAAGGAAGGGAAGGGAAAGGGAAAGGATGCAGAGGAACAGAGGGCTGGCTACCCAGGTAGTCCCAACACAGGACGGGGCTCTGTTCTGACAACTGCATTGTAAGTTGGTTCTGACATTAAGTTGAATGCCTCATTATTTTTTTTTCAGTTTTCATTATTACTGTCTTTTGTTATCAGTATCTTTGTAAATCTAATCTTTATCTGTCTTTGGGGTTTGGCAGGAGAATGATCACACCAGCAAATTACACGCTGCCACACTGTACGCAGCATGTATTACCGATGTAAGATGTACAGCAACAACGACAAAGAACAGGCGGCTGTCAGTAGGGTCTGTGGGGGGCTGCCTGCACCTGTGCCTTCCCAGGCCCCTGGGTCTCTAGGAAGAAACTCAGGAAAGCAGTAACACTGCCTGACACGGGGGAAAGGGACTGGCAAGGACAGAAGGAACTTGGCATGCACTATATTGGGCTGTTACGACTCTTAATTTTCACTCTGATAAAAGAGAGAAAGGAAAAAGAGAGAAAGGAAAAAACAAAGCAAAGAGCAGAACAGAAGCCATGGAACCAGCTAACACACAAGAAGGGAAAACCAGAGCTGCTGCCGTCCACTCTGCACCACGAACAACTGGCATAGCTGCCGCGAAGCTGGGAAGCGGGCATCAACACACCCCATGCGCTGCAGTGGATCCAGTAGGGACCACCCCAAAGCACCCCTCCCAGGCCAGGGGTCCTGCCCTCCAGGGGGAACTGGCTGGGTCTATTCATGTGCTGATCTCTGGCCGTGTCCCAGAGCAGTATTACCAGCCCCGTTTAACTCGTGGGAAAACCAACAGGCAGGGACTGCTGCTCCCAGAGGTGGCAGGGTTTGAACCCAGCTCTGGCTGAGTGAGCTGAGCCCTCTAGGCTCCTGAGAAGCCAGCTGGGCTGTGGCCTGTGGCTCTCTCAGAGGCGGCCCCCAGCCACCTGCAGGGGAGTTTCACTTCCCTCCTCTCCCAGCCCAGGCAGGCTCTGGCTAACCCAAGGGGCACTGACTTCTCCCTCTGCTCTCCTGGGCTGCCTTTCTAGAGCTCCTGCCCTGCACTCTGTCTCTCCCCAGCCCCCATCACTAGCCAGCCCTGGACCAGGCATGCAACTGGATGCATGTTTGGCACCTGCCTCCCCATCAGAAACATACTTCCCTGATGGCAAGGCCCTGCTCCACATTGTCAACTGTGTCCCCAGTGCACGCACAAGTCCCTGACTGCCACTCTGGGCTCCCCCCCTTCCTGGGTACAATGAGGGGAACACAGGCCTCACCCTGCCTGTTCCGGTTCCACAATATAATCCCACATGGGGGATTTGATCCAACCAAGAAACTGCACACGTGCAGAATGACGTCACTAACGGCAGCTTTAGACCGAACAGGCACCATCCTGGTGGTCCCCAAAGAAAAGACAGGGTGAAGAAGTGAAGGCCATCTGTTTAGGGAGTAACCACACAGCTATATGAGAGAGGAAGTGCTTCACCACATGACAGAACCAGGGCTGTGTCACCTCTTTCATACAAAAGGGAGAAACGTGACTCTCAGAAGCCCTTCTTGCTTTTATTTACAGAAATGAAGGACAATGTTTCCATGTGGGTGCAAGGCAGGGGCAGGTAGGGGTGCTGCACCATATGCCTCTGAATGCAGTGTGAGTTTATGAGCCCTGTGAATACATTACCCATGAAAAAGGAACGACAATGAAAAGAGGAGTTGCCAGGGTGTTTTGTACTTGCTGCATTTCACACAGTAGATAAGCTTGGCAGATGCATCCTCACTGATTCCTAACACCACCCCAAAGGGGCAGGGATGCTCCAAATGGCTGGGCCACTAGCCCAGAGCTGCCATTCAGAGGCTAGGCTGGGCTTCAGCCCTGCCAAGGGTCAGCCTCTGGAGCCCCCGCTTAGTTACTGTCTGGTGCTCTGCCTTGATTTGGGCCAGATGTTCTTAAGCCAGGTCAGGAACTGTACACAGGCTTCTGGCCATGTGACCAGTAATTCCAATGGCAATTTAAGTAGCAGTCTTAAAAACAGTGATTGTAGTGAGAGCAGCAGTGACCACTGAACACTCACACTCTACCAGGCCCTGTCTCAAATGCACTTACCATGTAAGTACTCAACATAGATTGAACCTATTTGTGGGAACAAATGCAGCTCTAGACAGGATTGGGGCTGGCTCTCCCTCTACGGAGCTGCCTGGTGCCACTGTGATCACAACTGCTGTCCAGGCCTAAGCTATACCATGGTGTGTGACAGCCCTGATCCCCTTCCATACCTGATTCAGGGTCTTCTGCAGGTGTGGGGTGCCCATGCGGTCAGCTATGTGTCGGTAGGCCGGGTGGGAAAGGAAAAACTTCCTCTCGGCTGCCAGGGCCGAGCGTATATCCTTCTTGCCCTCGATATCCTTCTGGCTGCGGTTCACCACGCCGATGTAGCCTATGGTGAGAGAGTCAGTTGGAGATAATACCAGGCAAGCTGATGTGCTCAGGGTACCTACTGAGGACCAGGCCTGGAGCTGGGCAGGGTTCAAGTGTGGAAGTGGCTCCTGCCATATCAGCCATTCACAGATTGAATGGCTGTACCATGTTACTCAGAAACAACAAAACCACAAAACCAAACTTTCTGCCATCAAGTCAATTCCAACTTATAGCAACCCTACAGGACAGAGTAGACCCAACCCATAGGGTTTCCAAGGCTGTAATCTTTCTGGAAGCAGACAGCTGCATCTTGCTCCCATGGAGCAGCTGGTAGGTTCAAACCAACAACTTTCCAGTTAGCACCTGTGCACTTAACCACAGCGCCACCAGGGCTCCTAGAGATAACAAAGGAGGATGCAGAAACAAAGCACAGCAGAAAACAGACCCTGAAATGCACCATAAGGGTTTGGAGGAAGGAGAAGTACGCCCTGCCCAGCCTGAGGGGATCAGAGCAAGGCTTTGGGGAAAATAAAATCCACAAACTGAGCTTGAAGGCAGGTAAGAACAAAATCTTACCAAGAAGGGCAGTACATGCCCAATTCATCTCCACAGAGATTAAAACCTATTATAAAGCTGTTACGTTTTCAGTGGCTGGGTATATCGAGGCATGCATGGCCAGAGAGATGAATGGAACAGAACAGAAAATCCAAAACTATCCCCAGAACCTAGTGAGCACTGATGGTGAACGCTTGAAAATCAGTGGGAAGAAAACTGGGTTAGTCAGTGGGCACTGCTGGCAGAGGAACAGAGTTGAACGCCCACCACAGTCAATTCTGGAGGGATCACAGGTTTAACCGTAAGATGGGAAATGAGCAAAGTACTTGAGGAAAACATGGGTGTTTTTTTAAATGACTGTGGCGACACTGCAGTTTTCTGGAACAAAGCACAGTTATCAGTGAGCACACAGGGAATGGGACTTGGAGGGAGAAGTTGGGAAACAATCTCCTCGATTTACTAGCCTTCAGTACGTTGTTGGAATGGTTTTAAAAACGAAACGACTGTTACAATAAAAATGTTAAGGAATCATGTGAAGAAAAGATCTGCAGCATTTGGACATAAAGAACTTGGAAGAGAAGGGAAGGGGCATTCCGAAGAGCCCCAGAGCAGGGACACTAGACCCTAGCAGTCCATCCTGCTGGGTGTCATGGACAAACGGGAATCATGGAAAAGAAAGGACTCAGCCTAGTGGCTGCCACATGGTAAAAAAAAAAAAAAAAAAAAATCCCAATCCAAACCCAATGCCACCAAGGATTCCAACTCATGGCAGCACATGGTCAATAAACAAAAATTATTTAATTAATGCCCTGTGACTAACAGAAAGGGTAGTTGTCTGAATCCACCCAGAGGTGCCTCAGCAGAAAGGCCTGGCAATCTGCTTCTGAAAGGTCCCTGCCACGAGAACTCCATGGGGCAGAGTTTACTCTGAGAGACATGGGCTCGTCATGAGTCGGAACTGACTTGAGGGCAAGTGGAAACTCTTAGCAGTGGGGTGGGGGAAGCGAGCCTGACGCTATCCTGCCTGCCTTGTGCAGACGTGCATGCACGTTGTCCTTGCCACAGCTGTCAATACGTCCATTTTCAGATGAGGGAACTGAAGAGAACCACACAGAGGTCATTTGCCCAAGGTTACAGAGAGATCAGCAGAAGCAAGACCTGAACACACACTTGCCTTGAGGCCCAAATCTCGTCTATATAACGGGAGTAGGAGAGACAGACAAGCTTGGGTTTGGTTTTGGTTCTTTTAAAGATACAGGAGTCCTGAGCCTGCTGTAGGCCAAGAAAAAGGATTCAGCTGGAAGGATTTGAGAGATGTGTGGAGGAAAAACAGGGAGAAAACAACTTGAGGTCACAGGTGGGCGCAAACGCACAAGTGTGGGGAGAGAGGAAAGAGGCAGGCAGGTGAAGGAGGGGCGTGCACAGCAGGGACTCAGGAAAGAGGCTGAGCATGGCCAAGCTCTCCACTACTCAGGGCAAGGCTGGGACGCTGGGGCTGAGGCCTGTGCTAGGGGGAGGACTGGGGTAGGGCTGGTCAGGTGGAAGGTGCCGGCACAGCAGTGTCCGGCTGGGTTTTCTCTCTTCAGCACTGACATTTACTGCTTAAACTTCTGCCAGCCACAGCTTTGCTTCTCAGCCCCTGATCCTTGCAGCCAAAAAGGTTTTTAGATTTTGTCCCTGGCCACGCCTCTCTGGCTATGGAGCCACCTTGTTGCTCAATGTCTCAGCAACGCTGGGACGTGGCAACCCAGGTAGGAACATTTCCCCATGTTTATCCCAGACCTCAGCTCGCAGACATGATGGAGGGAGTGCCTAGAAACAAAACCAAAGACACAGAAGGTACCCATAGCTGAGAGCACATCAGATAGGGAAGAAATGGCCTTTCCAAAACCATCATCAAACCTAGATGGCTACACAGCACAGTGCAAACAGGAAACCACCCGAGGGTCCAACACACGAGGACTGTGCACCTCCGTGAGGAATGCCACAGGACCTGCTGAAGTCCTGAACACTTATTCACCTGTCATGGGGAAGCGTTCTGATGTGTTGCTAAATGAAACCAAAAAGCAGGTCACAAAGCAGCCTGAAGCTGGATTAAAACCAGCTCCGCCACCTCCTGGGCTTGTGAGCTGGACAAAGGGGTTTAGCCTCTCTATGCCTCAGTTTCTTCATCCATACACACACACACACACACACACACACTCTCTCTCTCTCTCTCTCTCTCTCTCACTGACATTGAGTCACATCCGACTCACAGTGACCCCTCCTTGGGTTTCTGAGGTGGTATCACTATGGAAGTAGATTGCCCAACCTTCCTTCCAAGGAGTGGCTGATGGGTTTGAACTGCCAGCCTTCTGGTTACCAGTCAAATGCCTTAGGCACTACACTATCAGAGCTCCCTCATCTATACAATGGGGATGAATATAGAACCACCCCACTGAACTATCCTCAGGATTAAATGAGTAAAACTGGCCTGTGGGGTTTCCAATGCTGTAAATCTTTACAGATGCAGACTGCCTCATCTGTCTCCTGTGGAGCGGCTGGTGGGTTCAAACTGCAGACTTGTTGGTTAGCAGCCAAGTGCTAAACCACTGCACCACCAAGCTGCTTCCTGAACCTAATCAGGTCTCCCATCTAGATCTAATTACCAGTTTACAGGGAATGGCAATTGGCCAAATCCTGAATGTGGGTCATTATATGAAACTTATATGACCTGGTTTCTTCCACAAATAAATAATATGGGGGGAAAGGGGGGCGGGCAGGGTTACTTTTAGAAAAGCTAAGGTCCTAGTGTGTAAAATGATCATATGCCTAGGATTTGTGTGAAAACTGCTCAGGAGGAAAATCCCAATGGCAGGAGAGGCCAGGCTGGACATTCAAGATTGGTCACGTGGCAACAACCGCTGAAGTCAGGTATCAAGTCTTTGGGGCTCATCAGACTTTTCTCTTGACTTTTGAGAATGTCGGACAATTTTCACAATAGAGAGTAAATTCACAAATTAATACAAGTTCAGAACCCCAGCAAAAGCAGTTTGGTAGGAAAAGAACCTAAGGGTCCATCAACCAAGGAACAGATAATCAAACTGGTACATGTACACAATAGAATACTATGCAACCCTAAAGAATAATGCAGAATCTGCAAAACACCACATAACGTGGATGAACTTAGAGGACATTATGCTGAGCGAAATAAGTCAATCACAGAAGAACAGTAATAGTATTAGTTCTTTATTGTAAAAAGTCAAGGGAAGATTTATACATAGAAGGAAACTTTCTTTGTTGGTTACCAAGGATGGGAGGGAAAATTTCTACATAGGTTAAAAAAAAAAAAAAAAAAGATATGTGTGTATATATATACATATATATATATGTATATGTATATATATACAATGCATACACACACATATATATATGTACGTTAATGGGGAAGTTACGCACCTGACCCAAACCAAGGGAAAAAAAGCCAAAAAAGATGATACCAAAGATTATCAGTGGTTACCTAGGGATAGGAGGAAGGGGGAAAGCTTTTGCTTGTGGGGCACTGAGTCTATGCTAATGGTGGTGGAATATTTTGGAAAAGGATAGCAATGATGGTGGCACAACATGAAAAATGTCATCAATGTCCCTAAGCTGTAAACGGGGAAGTAGTTATGTTGATGAATGTCTTGTTGTGTATGCTTTCACCACAATAAAAGTTTTTTTTTTTTAAAAAAAAGGTAGTTTAGAAGGAGATCCACAAAGTCTTAATGAGGGGTTCTACTGCAAAAGCAGGAAGGTAGGTGTTTTTAATTTTTTCTTACTGTACACTTTGTTTTCTCATGCTCCAAAAATGAGCAGGTGTTAACTGTTTAACTGACGACGAATATATACAAATCAGAAGAAGATCTACAATCATAAGAAAAACATTTGGGAAGGATTTACAACACAATGTACAAGCAGTGGGAAACAGTGATGGTGTGCACGTGTGTCTATGTGTACACGCCGACATTTGCCACAGTCTCAGTAATGAGAATAACAAAAACAAATGTTGTTTTTCGAAAGCAGCGAAAGCCCCAGATCTCTGAGTGCCCAAGCCCAGCCCTCCCTGTGCCCACCCAGCCTCACCTCTTCTCAAGGGGAGGAGCTTGTTCTCCAGGATGTCTCTGGCATCGGTGCCTTCGTCCATCAGGTCGAGCTTGGTGATCACGCCGATGGTCCGCAGGCCTGAAAGAGCCCAGAAGTCAGACAACCCCGGGAGGAAGGAGCACGGGCTGGCACCCTCAGGTCACCTCCCTGTTCCCCCGTCTCCCACAGATCAATCTCAGAGGGTTATCCACTAAGATAAACCACGTGTCAAAGGCTAGTCAATATGGCTGCTCCAGGCTGTGAGGGGGTGGGGGTGCTGCGCTGGGGCAGCCTCATCGAACCTCAAATCCCAGGTCAGAGTTGGGGTTCCATGCTCTCAAGTTGCATGCACAGTTCTAACACTGATTCCTGAGTGCTTTCCTCCTCCAAATAGCCAAAATTCTACTTCAGAACCATGCCATCCAACTCCACCTCCCCCCTGAAGTCAGCTAGAATTAAGGAGAACTCGGAACAAAGCTCACACCTGCAATCAATCACCACAGCCAGTCCCTGAAAGGTGGCCTCTATGCTAGCTGTTGGTGTGGAGGCTAACAGGGCTAGAGTTATCTCTCCCTGGGACCTCCCCCTACTCCTCTTCTGTAGGTGGGAATGTAAACCAATTCCACCTTTCCAGAGGGTCACCTGGCTGTATCTACAACCATCTACAAAGCTTGTACCCGACAGGAAGGGAAAAGGCAGAGAGAGGTAGGAGAGGTGACTGGGGTGGGAGTCCTGGAGGTTTCACCTCTCTTGGGAATGATGGAAAACCAGAAACAATGCACAGGTCCCAAAACAAAGGAACGGAGGAATCAATGATGGGCCACCCAGTGGAGGACAACAGAGACATCACAGGGAACTCTTTCTACTGCCACTGTGGCAGGAATCAGGAGAAATTCACATCATGACTACACAAGGGGAGGATCATCCCCATACTAAAATGTGAGACTATGTGTAAGGAAAAACTCTGGAAAAATATTTACCTGGTGTGGCCAGTGCATGTTGGCCGGAGAAGGGACACTGTCATCTTATTAGGTTCTGTATCTGACATTTTTTGGTAATAATCACCAATACTTTTGAAGGCAGAAAACTTTTTTTTTTTTTAAAAAAGAAAGAATGCCAGCATTAACTTTACAAACGGTACCTAACTACATCAATTCTCATTCCGTCATCCTGCAATCAAGCCTCCACTGCGTCTCATCACGCTCATGCCCCACTTCATGAGATGACAGCAGAGAACACAACTGGGATGCTGTAGGGCTGGGAGTAGGCCCCCTGGGGCAGGAGCAGTGCCTCCAGGAAAAAACACTCATAATGGCCCTGGGCACATGAGTTGCCATGGCCTATTCACTGGCAGGACAGAGATGTGCAGCCCTGACCTTGAAGGGGCTCACACCCAGTGGGGGAAAAGCCACCAGTTGTCACAATTCACCCAAATACTGTGCTCTGACCAGGGCTGCACACTGGGGATCCTGAGCAACAGCCTGCCCAGCCTCGCCTGCCTGCCCAGCCCTCATTGGTCCCTGACTCCCTCCACACCACTGCGGAGCCCCAGCAGCCAGAGGGCATTTTGCAAAACAGACAGTCCCTGGGTTATGAACAAGCTCTGCACCTAAGTGTGCCTTTAAGTCAAAATTGTAGGTAAGGTGGGACAGGCGCACAGGGTCCTTATTCTGCCTTCCCTTAGTACAAGAAAAGGCTGGGTGCATTTCCAACGATTTAAAAGCTGCACGTGCAGCAAGTAAAAGTGACCGTGATGAAGAATTTGTTGTTGAGCAGGGGTTGGCTCAATTGTTTCAAAGTAAGAGCAAATTTACATGATGCTGAAGGGCATGTTGTCCGTAAGTTGGACATTCGTAATCCAGGGACTTACTGTATTTCAATGTGTGCCACACTCAGTTTATAAAGTGCCAATGATCTTAAGAGTAACATTCCAAGCCCTCACCGCAGCCCACAGGGTCCTGCTCAACTTGCCCCCCAGCCCTCGTGGCCCTCTCTCCCTGGCTCTCCATTTGGCCTGCTCTGTTCCAGCCACAGGGCCTCCTCATGGTGTCCTAAACACCCCAGGCCAGCACCTGCTGTCCATTTCCCAGGAGTTACTGGGTAGAACAAATGGTCACCACGCTTGGCTGAGAGCCACAAAGCTAGCAGTTCAAATCTACCCAGAGGTGCCTCAGAAAAAAAGACCGACTTTTAAAAAATCAGCCACGAAAACCCCGTGGAGCGCAGTTCTCTGACACACAGGGCATCACCACGAGTCAGAATGAGCTTGCAACTGGTGCTGACACCAGCCCATCTCCCTGGCTTTTGCCTCTTTGCATCATTCTGGTCTTGCCTAAGACCTCACTTCTGCAGAGGCTCCTGACCCTTCCCTCTAGCCATTCTCAAACAGTTCTGTTTGCTTTCCAGCGCTTACCACTACCTGAAAATTTCTTTATTTCCTTGTTGTATTCTGTCTCCTCCACCAGGAATATCAGCTCCCTGGCAGCAGGGACACTGCTGATTTTGTTCCCTGCCGGATCTTCAAGGCCAAAATAGAGCCTGGTACACAGCAAGCGCTTAACTAACATGTCCTGAATAAATCGCCTTTTCTAAAGTTTGACCTGAATGCCCTTAGCTGGGGAAGCCAGTTTCCACTACTCCCTATGCCCTCCTCTTGTTCCCATTTTGACAGAGGGGGCCAAGCCTCAGGGAGGGCAGGCATCTTCTACAGGCAGGATTTCGGACTCAGCTTTGAGCTGTGATGTCTGGGCTCTTCTCACCCCCTAGACGAGGTTCCCGAGCAGGTATCACGTTCAAGGACGGATGCCCAAATGCCTAGCAGCCTCTAGGGGGCGCCCAGCAGCACTATAGGTCCTCATGAGGTGTCCCAGGAGGCCTTTTCCAAGGGGCAGCATGTGCCAAAGAGGACACCAGTCACCAGGAATCAAGGATTCTGGGTGAGCCCTAATGCTCAGAGGCACCTGGAAAAGGAAGCCACAGCTCCATGGTTACCTTGGGGGTCAACCTCCTTGGCCAGTTTAAGGGCGTCTGAGTTGGCCAAGTCCATGTTGGCAGGGGTGACAGCAAGGATCAAGCTGTTCTCCCGGCTGATGAACTGCAGGATCATGTCCTTGATCTGGTACTCGATGTCTGGGGGCTGGTCCCCCACAGGCACCTTGGTGATGCCTGGAAGGTCGATGAGGGTGAGGTTGAGTACTGGGAAGGAAAGCAGAGGGAAAGAGTGTCAGAAGCTGGGCGCACGGAGGTCTACACAGCGTGCAGCAGCCAAGTCCTTTCCCCCAGGCTGTGGGGGCCAGACCTCACAATTTTTCCTGCTGCTCCAACCAGACTGCACCCTGGGACCCAAGAGCTCTCCTCCTAGGTACCCATCCTACACCGGGCTTGCTCTATTCGAACAATTTTGAGATTTAAAATCAAGCCATTTGTATTTGCAGATGAGAATCAATCTAAATGGTTAAATAAATGCCAGTCCATCTGTTCAGCCAATACCAAAGAAGCATTAAAAACAAAAAAAGCACCCCTACTTACTGAGCTCTGGTAGCATAGTGGCTAAGACACTTGCCTGCTAACCAGACGGCTGGCGGTTCAAACCCACCAGCCACTCCTCAGAAGGAAGGTTGGGCAATCCTACTTCCGTAGTGATACTGCCTCGGAAACCCAAGGAGGGGTCGCTATGAGTCGGGTTTGACTCGACGGCACATAACAACAAGAACAACAACAACAACTTACTGACAAGAGATACTCTTAAGATACATTAACACATCTTAAAGTATGCTACAGCTGGAGTCAATGAGAGAATACACACACACGATGAAAACGTACTTATTCATAAATGCTTAGATACACATAATCTATCACTTGGAAGAACAAGGAATATATTTATAACATTGAAGACAGGATGTGTACCCTTTTGTAATTTTTTAATGTCAGCCATAGAGAGACATTATTTATTTAAAATAAGTAAATTTTAATAAACTCATCTCAGGGAACCCATACAGAGGAGTTAAGATGTTGCAGTATCCCGAGTGCCACGAGGGTCAGTGACCCAGGCCTCCATGTCATGTCCACCAGGTGTTCTACTTAGTGTTAAAATCAGGACATTTTGCAGAGAAGTCGCCCTTTCTGGTTCCTCTTGAGGTGTCAGAAGACTTGGCTACCTTGGGCCTATGTCCCTACATGGCCACCACTGCCTGGGAGCTGAGTATTAGCTGCCCCTTTAACAGAGGGCAATTTGCCAGAGTCCCCACCACTCCCAACAGTCTTCCTGACCCTCTGTGTTTTTCTGAAAGCCGAGACTGAATTCTGTGTACCTACCGCGTGCCTATCTCAAGAGGACTGGTTACGTCTGAAGAGAATGGGAGGGAACACACCCTCTGCTGAGAGTGAGGCATATCCCATCTGTGACTGGTATGCAGTCAGCTTCCTCCCCCACACCCCCATGCCCAGGGCTGAGCCTGGGCTGCCTACCGTGTGGTGAGTAGACCCGCAGGTTGATGGGCACTGGGGAGATGCCTTTGTTGATCCCCGTGATCCTATCTGTCTCTGCTTCAATCTCTTGCCGGACTTCATCAAAGTCTGTAAACTTTTTGGACTTGCAGTGCAGAAACTCGGCATATTCTGAAAAGGGGAGAAAGATGCTCAAAATCAGAAAGCAAAGTGTCTTCTTTGTTGGTGGGGAGCAGATGAACTTGTGAGACAGGAGCTCTGTCAGGCAGAGAGAGTGAAGAACCAGTCACAGGCGCTCGAGGAATTTGGGGGACAAGAGAGTCATTCACTTGACAAGAATTTGAGAGGCGCTCCTCCAGCCTGAGCACTTTCCAGATTCCACAGGAACAGGGCTGGCCAAGAGCCAGTCCCCGAGGAACTGACATTCTGGTGCAGGACTCTGCAAACTACACAGGGGGATGCGAGTCCAAAAACACCAGCTGGCGAGTTGTGACCAGGATTTACTTATCATTTACTGATGAGCAGGATAACTCTGTTGCCATCGATTTGATTCAGACTCAAAGCAAGCCTATAGGGCAGAGGAGCTATAGGACAGAGTAGAACTGCTTCATAGGGTTTTCAAGGCTGTAATCTTTATGAAAACAGACTGCCTCATCTTTCTCCAGCACAGCGGGTGATGAGTTCAAACTGTTGACCTATCAGTTAGCAGCCAAGTGCTTAACCATTGCATCACCAGGGTTCTCTTGTTGTTGTTGTTGTTGTTATGTGCCTTCGAATCGGACCCGACTCATAGCGACCCCTCCTTGGGTTTCCGAGGCAGTATCACTACAGAAGTAGACTGCCCAACTTTCCTTCCGAGGAGTGGCTGGTGGGTTTGAACCGCTAGCCTTCTGGTTAGCAGTCAAGTGCCTTAGGCATTATGCTACCAGAGCTCCTAGAAAAGGTGACAATGGCGTGTGTCACCCAGAACAAGCATAAGGACATCTGAGGAAGCTGCTGCTTTGGCGCTGTACATGAGACAGTCCTGGGTCACAGAGAGTCAAAAGAGACGGGGGCGCTGTCCTAATGGACTCAAGAGCTGCCAGCGCGCTCCTCTGGCCGACAGCCCCACCCGCGTGTCTGCAGTACTCATTCATTCCTTCCCCACGGCACCCGCGTGGTGTGGGAAAAGGATGCCCCTGCTGGCCTCCCCACAGTCCCTCCTCCTCTCCTGCTCCTGGCTGTTCCAGAGGGACCCTCCCCTAGACACACATGAACGCCTCAGGAGAAATGCTTTCCAGAAAGAAGCAGTGGGTTTAAGAGGCTTTTTATAGCTTCTCAGCCGGGGTATTTGAAAGGCTTCTTGATGCTGAGATGAAGGGGGAACAAATAAGGGACCAAGGCCGGGCTGGTCCTGTCACCAAGTGACAGAAAGCAAGTCCCAAGCACAGGGATGTAATCAAGCAAATGCAAGAGACATTCATCGTAAAACGTGTGTAGTGGTCACTGTGCAATTCCTCAACTTTTCTGAATGTTTGCATTTTCATGGGAAAATGGCAGGGGAGTGGGACCCTGCCAGGCTCTGAGGTCACAGCCCCAGCAGTGTTACGCTCAAAAGAGAGGAAGTCATGCTGGCAAACAGACCAAAGAGCAGGGCCACCACAGAGATGCACAGATATGGACTGTCACGTTATTGATGAAAGGGAAAAACTGGAAATACGTCAGTGTCCACCAGGAGGAGACCTGGCTATACAATCACATTGGACACACCCAGCTGCCTCAGAAGGATGGACATGAACCCCTGGCCACGCAGAGAGCCTGGAAGGTCTACAGTCTCTACCCAGTGGTGCAAGGAGGCAGAAAGAAATGTGAGCGAGGCCTTTCAGTGTCCCTTTACCATAACCTAGCAAACTATGGCTACTGTTCAGACCTGGCTCACTGGATGTGGTTCCATTTGCTCCTCATGGCCACTGTAACAAGCGGATGCCTCCAAGAGGAAGCCAAGGCCCAGACAGGCAGAGTGAGTTGGCCCATGTTCAGGGGCTATTCGCTGGTGGGGCTGGGATGTGGAACTCATCTGGCTCCCAGTAGAGATTCTCCAGCCGGATGGCAGATGACTTTATGAGGCCACAGAAGGCTCTTAGTCTCTCTGAATCCATGCCATAGGACTGGACCCCCTGTGGACTGAGACCCCTTCGTTCAGCAAGGGCACTGACTACCCAGAAGCAGGGGCACTGAAGATGCCAGCTCATTAGAACCCAAGAGGCCAGGATCTCCACCCCTGCTGTCAGCTGACCCGGTTTCCAAGGGCAGTCATGCCCCAGCCCTCCAGAGGGACAAGAGGAAACACTCGGCAGCTCTTCCTGCAGCAGCCACTAAAAACGGAACCACCCCTCACAGCCAACTTCAGTTCTCTTCCTGCTCGCGGCCCCAGGCTCAGCACCAGCAACAGACCATCCCTCTCTAAGGAGTAGAAGGTGGCCATGGGATGGAAAAGGGACTGGGGGCCAGGACACGGCCCCTTTTCCCCTGCAGGCCTCTGAGCCTGCCCTCTTACCCCATCTTCAGGGCCTGTTTGACTGTCACCTCTTCCAGGGAGCCTTCCCTGACTGCACCCTGTCCACACACCAGCCTGCACCTTTAGCTTCCTCCTCACTGGAGCCAGGTTACCTTGGCTCATGTTTACGGGGCCAGGACCTGCTGCAGTTGCACTGAATTGCTTAATATGGCCCTTCTAGCCACCGTCCTCTTCGGAAGGAAGATGGGGCAATCTACTCCCGTAGTGATACTGCCTTGGAAAACCAAGGAGGGGTCGCTATGAGTCGGGTCCGACTCAACGGCACATAACAACAACAACAACAAGCCACCGTCCTCTATTTTGTGATGTATTATGAATCCTAGCTTCTATGCCTGTTTAGGGTGGGATGTATCTCGAGTCCTGCATTGTTGAAAGGTGTGACTCAAGTCACCACCCCTTACTCCTTGAGGGTATATGTGTGAATGTTCTGGCATAATGCACTCTCTCTTGCTTCAGATCCTGCATTTGGTTTGTCATTACCTCAGCCCTGGACTCAGACAGCAGCCAGTCATGTGACCTGCTGATTTAGGTTCACCAGCACCTGCAACCATGTGAGTAAGGAGAACCCTCCAGACCTATGTCTGACCCACGGATCTGAGACTTGCCAGCCTCCCCACCTCCACCAGCGTGTGAGCTGTTCCCGTGGCAGTGTGTGAGTTCTGTGAGACGTTACTGAGAAATAAGGAACCCTAAGGCGGCAGAGAAAGCACTGAGGGGAGAAGGTGGAACTGATGTTAGAGATGATAGAGTACAGCACTTTGGAAAAGCTGGACATTTGAGACATCTTTAACTTCTACTGCAGCCTTGTACTGATCCTTCTAAAAGAAATAATTCAATCACCTGCCCACTGTGGCACCCAAGGGCCTGGTGTACAGTGGCAGGCAACATGTTGTGGGCACTATGAGCTCAGTCCCTGCGGTCAGAGCTCCCAACAGATCTGTTTCCTGAGCTATAAAATGGATGTTACAACTGGGTCAGCAGCAAGGCAGGGTGGACAAGTGGGTGGAGAACCACAGCAGGGAGCAGACCAAGGACAGAAAGCTGTCATTCCCCCAGAAAACTACACAGGGCAAGTCCTTCTGGCAAGTCACACAGTACCTCCCACCGTCTCCCTCCCTGTACCCCTGCTTCCTCCGCCTTCCTTTCACCAAAGCACTTATCACCATCTAACATACCCTGACGCCCCTACACCAGGGCAGGCAGTGTATCCCTGGGCCCAGCACACGGAAGCTGCTTGATAATCCTGCACACGAATGAGTGACTCCATCAGAAAAGTGATATGGTCCCAACATCAGCTTCTGAGAGGTGGCCCCACTGCCCTAATGCCACCAAACTTGACACAGAAAGACCATTGTACTGTCCCACTCCCCTGCTCTCCCATTTTTCCCGAAGCACCTTCTGACCACAAGGGCCAGGCCTGTCCTGAGTTGGGCCTCGGGGGCCTAGCAGGAAGCAAGGTCGGCTTGGTCCCAGGTCTGGCAGGAGAGGCAGACACAGCACAAGCATGGGTCACAGCAGAGAATAGCAGGTGTCCCGGGCAATCAGAAAGAATATCTAGCACACCAGGAACCAGGAGGGGCCTCCTGGAGGAGGCGGCCTGCCAGTCTCCACTGGCCCCTGCCTCCAGCCTGGCTGCCCAGCACCACCTCCAGACAGCCCCTGCTGACACCAAGATGAGGCAAACAAAGAGCTGGGTGGTCCACACCTGGGTCATCTTTCTGAAGTGACAACTTTTACCCATGTCCTAAGAATGCTCTGGGCTTGGGAGAGTTAACAATAGTGGGATAGAGAGGTAAGGAATGTGATTCTGCAGCCAGACTGCCTGCGGTAGCCTGGCCAAGGGGCTCCCCCAACCCCACCCGCGCCATGCCTCAACTTCCCCACGAGAGTAAAACCATGAGAAATAGGCCAAGAGTTAACTTGGCCCTGGAGACGATTGCTTTTACGACCCCCAGTCACAGGCCTGAGGCCCAGCTAGGCCCGTTCAGTGGCCTGATACCTCCCTCTGGTCCTAGGCACTGAGGCCGAGCCCCTGCCCACCCTGCCTGGCCTTGTCCCAACCTCAGAGCAGCCCCCCCCCCCATCCTGCCCAGCTGCCACTTGAGATGGGAAAGGAAGGCTGAGTTTCCAAATCTTGTGTGTAAATGATGAAGCCAGTACCCCCAGTCCCGGGACCAGCACTGCAGTGTCTCCACAGTCACACCCCCCAAGGCACAGAGCGAGTTCACCCAGACACCACCTGGATGGCCACCCAGGCACTGGGACTCACAGCCCCAGAAAGAGCAGCTCTGCAGAAGAAGCGGTGGCTCTGGAGAGCCCCGGGGCAGTGGCAGAAGGTCAGCTGGGCAGCAGGACCAACACAGGTGGGCCCTGGCCTCAGTTTCCCCCATCTACCAGGAGCACCTCCTCAGGGCACTGTGGGGAGGACGAGCACCCCCCACGTGCCCCAGGGAACAGGCTCCACACAAAGCTTTCTGTGGGGCCACAGCACGTGCTGCCCTGTGGACAGAAAGAGCAGGAGAGGAGGGGGCATCATATGGGCCACAAGGGCCATGGAGGGGGCCCACTACCAGGGTCTCTGCTGCCCCCTAGCCCCCGCTGGCTATGCAGGCTT